ATCTCAGAAATAAACAAATAAAGAGCAAAACAACTGAATTTCTATAAAAATGGCACTCTCTTCCTTAGGAAGGAGGGGTCTCTGGCTACTATCTGATGGACAAGTTAGAAAAGAATACCTAGGTTTGGGGCACATGTCGTTAATAGCAACACAAGGCAGGACCTTATGAGTTCGAGCTTGAAGCCAGTTCGGTCTACAGAGTGAGACCCTGACTTACAGAATAGAAAGGAATTCTTAAAGACGCTTCAACACCAGAGACCGTAGGATGCCAGGCGCCCTGCTAATTTCAGTGCCTCTAGAACCATTGAAGATTCTTCAGGTTAAAGTCCCCCTCCCCACCTTTCCACCCAATGCCTCTTAGCCTATCACAACTAAATCTATCTAACGGCTCTCACCCTCCTTGGGGTGAATGAAGCAGTTGGAAGTAAGCTCCGAGCCTTTCCTACGTGCAGAATCACCACCATTCTAAATGTATAAATTATAAAATTTACAGACCAGCGAGAGGCCGTGGGGAATTAGCGGCACATATCTTAAACCCCTCCGTCATCTGGTCGTAGACTATAGGAGGAGCGGATGGCTATGGTTCCTTGAAACAGGAATGCTCATTGCACATGCAAGCCAGACTCAGTATCCCGGATAAACTGCTACAGTTAATTGCCATGGGTAAATCTTTACAAACCAGCCGAGCATGAGAAGGTTAATAAAATCAGGTGATTAGCAGCAAAGCGGGGTGCCGCCACGCTGATTAGCGCCAGTGGACGAAAGTCTGTCACGTGCTCACGTGCTCATTAAACCTCTGGGCTGGCACTGCCCAGTGCTGAAGGACAGAGAATGGCAGCCAGTGATCTAAGAGCCTCTTTGCTCACAAAGCCAACACTTGAGCTCGTGCCTTGTGATCCGAGCTAGACAGATGACCAGGGGACGCTGTCAGTGTTCAGCGAGGCCCCATCCAACAGCTAACAAGGATGTTGACAGGAAGGGGATATTCGGGGTGAGAATGCCCCTCCCCCATCAACTGTCAGGCTCCCCACAAAGACCAGCAGATTGGCCTGGAGCATCCTTTCCCCCCTAGGAATGCATATGGTCCTGCCAGCCTCTCTGCTGATGGATGCAGACGGTGACCACCTGTCAACAGCACCAAGCTCACCCTGGCCTCTGGCTGCCCTTCTACCCCTGGGGACAGTGGCATCATCTGTGTAGAGATGGATGGCCTCAGCTGAGGGGCACTAGTCACCCCACAATTAGTGCTGAGCTCAACAAGTCTCAGCTGTGAAAGCCTAAAACGAGCATTTAAGAATCACTAGGTTTCTTCACTTCAAAATGCGTCTTTCTCCCGGGATACCCTTGGGAAGCCGAACCAAAGACAGTGATCACTTGCTGCTACCCACTAAAAGGTGCAGTCTTTCTTAAGGTAGAAATCATATAACATCAAATTCAATATTTCAAACACTGAAAAGTGTACAATTAGTGGGCTTTATATTCATAAAATTGTGCAAATATCATCACTATCTGGTTCCAGAATGTTTTCATCACCCACCCAAAGCAACTCCACACCCTATAAGCAGTCTTCTGCAAGCCCCGGGGAAACACTCATACACAGAAAGCAAACTAAACCAAGTAAGAAGGGGGTTAGTAACCGTAGGCTGATAGGCTCTGGTCTTGGTGACATTTTATATTTTTAGTATCTGTATATTATTTCATGTCCTTTTCTGGTCTCAATTTCCTCCTCCATTGCTTCACTCCTCAGATTTCAGAATACACTGAACTCAGACCAGAAAATGCCGGTAATACGACATAGTGTTTGAGATATCTAAACGCAGCATGGACACTGACCGCTAAATAAACGTTGCCATTGTCTAACCCGTTCTACATTTGAGGCGGCACACTCCTTCCTCACAGGCAGCGTGTGACAAGTCAGGGTCAGCCTCGGCTGAGTGAGAAATGTGTCGGTAGGGTGGAGGAGCACTGTGAGCTTGTCACAGTCCCCGACCCAGACACTGGCAGCTGGGAAGGAGCCTTTGTATCCATTCCTGGCTCTTCCGCACACCACGGCCGGAGGTCGTTTCCTGACTGGTGGGATCTCATGAGGATCTGCTCTGGAGGGGAGACATTCATTGTGTGTGATCCAGAGATAAGGTTGTCTGATGTTGTGAGCCTCCTTCTGCTGAAGTGAAAGGAACATTGGCCCTCATGGGATCATGCACCGCGGATACCTAGGGAGGACGTTTTCAGAAGGAAGTTTCAGGCTTTATTGGAAAAGTTCTTTATGCCTTCCTCCCACCAGCTGCTTGAAAGACAAGAATCTCCTTAGACCAATAAAGTTCTAATAAAATATTTGTGATATAGGGCTTGTATGTCATTACCAAATATTTGCATTTCCAAAAGTAATTTCTAGAACCCTTACAATAGGAAATTTAACATGACATTGCATTAGTTTTAGATCCTTCTGTTTCCTGAACAGATAAAGCAAGGAATATGTTAAAGTGACATAAACCAGTCCACAGAGCAACTCCAGCTAGAGAAAGGGAGAGCCATTGAAAGGACTACTTAAGCCAGGCACACGCCTTTAATCCCAGCACTGGGAGTAAGAGGCAGGTAGATCTCAGTGAGTTTGAGGCCAACCGGTCTACAAAGCAAGTTCTGGGACAGCCAGGACTGTTACACAGAGAAACCCTGTCTTGAAAAACGAAAACCAAAACAAACAAACAAAAAGAGGGCAGCTTAGGCCACACCATCCGTATCCAGCAGTTCCAATGTGGCAGATCCTCAGGAACTGGGCTGAACTGAATCACACATCTCTTAAAATAAGAAGCAAACATTCAGTCTTCCCTTAGGGTGTTTGAATTTCCACTTGACTTTGTTATTAAAGTACAGTTTAATTCAGCATGACGATATTTTGAACAGCAGATGAACAGAGGAAACTTTGAGCTACAGCAAAACTCGGGGACATACATCTGCTTGCCATACATAAAGCCTGGGGTTTGAGCCCCAGCTTCAAAACAGAGAGAAAGAAAGGAAATTCCCAACTGATGCTCCAAACCTAACAGGTCTCCTTATGTGATAAAAATTTAAAAAAATAAATTGATTCCTATCTCCAAAAGGGGGGTGTTTCCAATTTATGGCCTAGGCATAGTCCTAAAAGGTCATTTTATGTGACAAAATTAAAATGAAATGTGAATTTCTGTAACTTACTATGTACTTATTTTAAAGTACAAGGTTGCATGAAATCTAATTCCTGCAACTTACTATGTACTTACCTCAAAGTACAATGTTGTATAAAATCTAACATTCTCATGCAAACATTTTGAAGGATTTTTATCTAAATCTGGTTCATGCAGAAAGAGTGTTTCCAAAATAAAATCAGAAAATACTATGTCAAACAGTGAAGACTAAATAAGGAGGGAGTCCTTTGCATTGCTATGACACCCACCCCTGGAACCATGAGTATGGGTGTCCTGTGATTTATGTGATCTAGTGTTGAATACCCACTACAGGTGAGGCACAACCTGCGCTCTGGATAAGAGACTCCCTGTGATCAGGAGCTTGTTGGCTTCAGTCACACTGAAAATCCACCGTCCATCAAGTTGAGTCAGGATTTAAGCCCCTTTCAATGTGTGAGGTACTAAGAATGCCACATAAAGTTCTCCCCCAAAAGTGCTCTGGGAAGTCAAAAGTGGAGGATGATTACTCCCAGGAGAGGAAGGAGGGCAGTAACTAATTCTCAGGCTTTTGTGTTACGTTGTTACTAAGTGTCCATCCTAACCAGGATAAGTGACTTAACTTCAGGGTCAGTGTCCTTAGCTTCCGGTTAAGGAGCTCCAGATGATGTCATTGCCATCACTACTGCAGTTCCTAACTGGGAACTAGACGGAGCTGGAGCCAGGCATCATCATGTTCTGTGTGTATTAACCCACTTCATCTTCACAGCAGTCCAGCGGAGCAGGTCACTGTCATGGGTGGTATCATCTTCTCTTGAGAAGCTGAGCCTCAGTGGACTTAGGTCATTGGTCTATGGCCATTCAGCTCTATGGGCGATGGAACTGGGGTACAAACTATTGAGTGTATCTCTGATTAAGCAATGACCATTTTAAATAAGATTCAGGAGCCCTCCTGGGTCCTCAGACCTCTTCAGGGGTCCCACAAGGTGAATACTGCATTCATAGCACAATAATAAAGATAATGTTTCTTTTCATTTTCTTTCTCTCAAGTGTGTGTGCATGTGTGTGTGTGTGTGTGTGTGTGTGTGTGTGGTGAAACTTTCCAGAATCCGTATGTGTTCTGCAGAATGAATGTAGAAACAGAGAGGAGAATCCAGCTGTTTTCTATCAAACTAAACGCTGCAGAGATGTACTGAAATGCAAAGCCATGCCACACTCCTCCCAACATTTTCCATCTTATAAATGTTGTTTGTTTACAAATTATTATTATTATTACTACTCATAAGTCAGCATTAGTATTTAAGTGACTTCACTTTCCATATATTAGTAAACAAATTTTTTATTCATTTTTATTGTGACAGTTATCTATGGAAAGGAAAGAATCCATATATACCAAAGTTCCTTTCTGTTTGTTTCTGAGACGGTCTCACTGTATAGCAGTGGCTGTCTTGGAACTATGTAGACCAGGTTGGCCTGGAACCTACAGAGTTCCGTCTTCCTCTGCTTCCTGAGAGCTAGGACTAAAGACTTCCACCACCTATCCTGGCTCAAAGACTCTTTTAAAGTCCTCAATGCTTTATAAGGAGTTTAAAGAGGTTCTAAGACCCAAGCCCTTGAGAGGAGCAGCAGTGGCCTTGGAGTCAGATGCACCTCTTCTGGAGGCCTGATATGTCAATGGCACGTCAATGGCATGTCAATGTCACATCAATGGCACGTCAATGTCACATCAATGTCATGTCAACGCTTGGGTGCTAGCGTGCCAACAGCTTTAGTGACTGGGAATGAAGCAGAAGAGAGTGTGTGTATCTTCCCTGCAGAGTGAGCTCTCCGTGTTGCCCACAGGTGATGGAGTTTTACTGCCAGTCCTGTGAGACGGCCATGTGTCGGGAGTGCACCGAGGGGGAGCACGCGGAGCACCCCACGGTGCCGCTGAAGGACGTGGTGGAGCAGCACAAGGCCTCACTTCAGGTCCAGCTGGATGCGGTCAACAAAAGGTGCCATGGCCCCTGCAGACTCCCCACCCAATGTGAGGCCTGGCCTCCACACCTGGTGTTTGAGATGCTAGGGTCATGCCAGCCTGTATATATAACTCCGTATGTTCTACATTCTTCTTGATCATGAGCTCTCAGAACCTCCTGCCTGAAGCCAGAACCGAGATTTTCCTTGGAGTTGTGTTGCCTTGCTTCCGGACCTGTGGTGGTGGCTGGGATGGTTCTGTGCATGAGCCCCATCCAGTGGTGCCGAGCAGTGATCGCTCAGTTTTCCTAGTGTGTTTGTTTTCAGGATTTCCTTTTCCCTTTGGCATGACCAACCGAAAAGAAGACCTTAACAACCAGCTGAAAGACAGACAAAGTACTCAGTAGTCCTACTGATAGTCAGGAGTCCCAGTGAGAAAAAGGTCTTCTATCAATGTCACTTAAAGGGACTTGAAAACGTACAGGACGTTCTCCAGATACTCTGAGTTCTGCAAGTTTATGTGACTGGGAAAAAAATGATAAAACTAGACATTTAGAACACAGTAGTTCTCAACCACAGGCAATTCTGACCCCCACCCCCATCCAGAACACTTGACAATACTTAAAGGCATTTTTGGGGTCCTAGCAGTGATGGGGTGGGGTATGCTGTTGGCATTGGATAGAGGAGGGAACACTATTAACACCCTACATGCATAAGGCAGGAAAGCCTATCACACCATCAATAGTTTACGTGGGCGTCTGAAGGTTAATGGAAAGAGCTCTGACCCCGAAAGTCTCGTTCGTTCGTTCTATTGCTCTTTAAAGATGGTGAGAAGCGACTTTAAAAGGGGCATTTTGCTCTTAGAGAAACGGAAAGGGTGTAGGGTAGACTTCGGGATACTTCTGGGTGGATGTTAATGATCCCTAACGACTCTCCTGTCTCTCAGACTCCCTGAAATAGATTCCGCTCTTCAGTTCATCTCAGAAATCATCCATCAGTTAACGAACCAGAAGGCCAGCATTGTAGACGACATCCACTCCACCTTTGATGAGCTGCAGAAGACTTTAAACGTCCGCAAGAGCGTCCTGCTGATGGAGCTCGAGGTCAACTATGGCCTCAAACACAAAGTAAGACTCTGCTGTCCGACAGGTTTCCTCTAAGGGGCGTGACACCGGGGCCACTTCGTTCACAGCCATGGTGGTGGGGACCCACATAGGTCTTTAATGTCACCATTGTACAGTGGACTCCTGCTTTCATTTAGTAGGAACACCCCCCCCCCAACTTCAGAAGCTGGGGTTCTGTGACCTTCTGTAGCAATTCAAAGTCTGCCGTGAGAGGTGGCACATTGTGTTTTCAGGTCTTAACTGCCTGGAATGTTTTTCCTCCCGTAATTATAATGTGGGCGAGCCTCTTAACTGCCCTCACCCACACCTAACCTGTTCCTCAACTTCAAAGCGAATCCTGACTGTAGTCTTTGTTTGCCTTTGCCGGGGAGGAGAGCTTCTGCTATTCACGTGTGGAGACTTCTCCAATGGTTGGTTTTTGTTCCTTGAGGTAGTAGCCAGGCAGCTCTGAACGGTAGGGAAAGCCACGGAGTAAAGACTATTTCACATCAAGCAATTTGTGTCTCACACTGGGGGTAGCGACCTTTCTGCCTCGCCTTATGTAAACAGATGACCCAAGAAACACTCAAGTGTGGGTGATGAGACAGGGAGAGGTGGAAGGGAAACCTCCAGAAGGCACTGGTAACATTTCGCCTGAGTTCACTGGGTTAAATGGAATGCAGCTCATTTGGAGCCAGATGAGTGGGCGGGTATAGAAGCCGGTTCTTGTGGGCGGAGGGCTCAGTCCCAGCTCCTGGCAAGTGTCCTGGAGGAAGTGCTCACTGCTTCTCTGTGTGCCTGGCAGGTGCTGCAGTCACAGCTGGATACCCTTCTCCAAGGCCAGGAAAGCATCAAGAGCTGCAGCAACTTCACTGCGCAGGCTCTCAACCATGGTACGGAAACCGAGGTGCTACTGGTGAAGAAGCAGATGAGCGAGAAGCTAAACGAACTGGCGGACCAAGACTTCCCTCTGCACCCGCGCGAGAATGACCAGCTGGATTTCATCGTGGAAACCGAGGGACTGAAGAAGTCCATCCACAACCTGGGGACCATCCTCACCACGAACGCTGTCGCCTCAGAGACGGTGGCCACGGGCGAGGGGCTTCGGCAGACCATCATCGGGCAGCCCATGTCCGTTACCATAACCACCAAGGACAAGGACGGAGAGCTGTGCAAGACAGGCAACGCATACCTCACTGCCGAGCTCAGCACCCCCGACGGCAGCGTGGCGGACGGCGAGATCCTGGACAACAAGAACGGCACCTACGAGTTCCTGTACACTGTGCAGAAGGAGGGGGACTTCACCCTGTCCCTCAGGCTCTACGACCAGCACATCCGTGGCAGCCCGTTTAAACTCAAGGTCATCCGCTCAGCCGACGTGTCCCCCACCACCGAGGGCGTGAAGCGACGGGTCAAGTCCCCCGGGAGCGGTCACGTCAAGCAGAAGGCTGTGAAGAGGCCCGCCAGCATGTACAGCACCGGCAAGAGAAAAGAGAACCCCATCGAGGACGACCTGATCTTCCGTGTGGGTAAGAAGCGTATGCTGTACCTGGAGTGGGTGGTTGAGGAGCCATGACAAGTGTTCCTGCCAACAGGAACTCTACATTTCGGAGCAGGTGGGGAGCTGCTAGTTTTGTTGGGCTAGCATAATTGTGCAGACTCTTTGCAAATGTGTCTTCTTCCTCTCCCGTTCCTCTCCTTTTCTTCTTCCTCCTCCTATCCCCTCCGCCTTCTTTTTAAGAGAGAAGTACTGCCTGTAAGAAACCGAAAATAAGCCAAAAGAGAAATAGAGAATCCCCAACATTCAGAACCTGACATTTTAAAGGATTTTCAGAATCCTCCTCCCTTTGCTGGGAGTGTCTCTGGAGGACTCCTGCCTAACCCAAAGACAGAAGAATCCTTGCCTCAGGCAAATACTTGTATTTCTGTGAAATCTGTGGGCTTGGGCAGGGGCAGTCCCACAAAAGGAGTTCTAATACCTATGTCTCCACTCCAGCAAGGAGTGGGAGACCTGTGGGGGCCAGCTGTGCTGGGCTCGCTGTGGGGCTAGCCCCTGAGACCCCGGGTGGAGAAGGAAGTGGGGTTTCAGATGAAGCCAGAAAGTGTAGCATGACCTCAGAGATGGGAATGTGGGGTTGCCCCTCCCTCTGATTTATTGCACGTCACTAGTCACTATTTGTTTTAACTGCTTACTTTCTCCAGAGAAAGCAACCTAAACATACCCCCCCCCAAAAAAAAGGCTCAGTTCCTTCTTAAGGAAAGTAAAAGCTTATATCTTGTTTCAAAAAGCACCTGCAGCGTGTCTCATTCCCCTGTGGAGTCTCTACCTGCAGCATGTCTCATTTCCTGTGTTGTCTTTTCCTGTAGCCTGCCTCATTCCCCTGTGGGGTCTCTACTCCCAGCGTGTTCATCCCCCTGTGGTGTCTTTTCCTGCAGCCTGCCTCATTCCCCTGCCGTGTCTACATCCCAGTGCCTAAGAGTGCCGCACAGTTTAACTGGCACTACCGCAGATCTTCCCAGGGTGGCAATCTGCTGGTATGCACTGTGCGCTGTGGGAGCTAAGGGTTTGAAGGCGCCAGCCAACTTTTCTCATCTGTTTTCCACCGACCATCTTGGGAAACTAATGTTCCCTGGAGCATCTGTGGGCCGAATTGCTCAGTTAGCACTCTGAATCCCGGACAGGACTGTGCTGTGGAACAACACGTAACCTGTCTGCTCAGAGCAGTCCTTTCTTGGCCACCCATGGGTACAGGGAACAAGCTGGGACAGACACGGGGCTAGATACCGCCAATCCAGTTTCTCCACTTACGCCTTGGCTATATCTTTCTGCTTTCCCCAACTTCAGCTTCCATGGTTATAAAATGCAAAATGGTCCTCCAGATTCTTCCATATTGTCACAATGAAGCGGGGAGGGAGGGGCAGAGACTCTTTGACCTACCAGTTTTATTTCCTTTTGGGAAATTCTCCTGGTAGTTCTGGACTATGTTAACTCCATTTAAATGTATGAGGAACCTTCGTACTGTTTACATAGTGGCTATAAGTGCACATTCTTTTTTTTGTTTGTTTGTTTTTGTTTTTCGAGACAGGGTTTCTCTGTGGCTTTGGAGCCTGTCCCGGAACTAGCTCTGTAGACCAGGCTGGTCTCAAACTCACAGTTCTGCCTCTGCCTCCCGAATGCTGGGATTAAAGGCATGCACCACCATCGCCCTGCATAAGTGCACATTCTTCTCAGCAGTGGTAAGGCTTCTCTTTATCCAGACCCTCAACAACGTTTAGATTGTGTGTACCAGAAGAGGGCACCAGATCTCATTAGAGATGGTTGTGATCCACCTTGTGGATGCTGGGAATTGGAAGAGCAGCCAGTGCTCTTCACCTCTGAGCCATCTTTCCAGCCCCCTCCACATTGTCTTTCTTAAAGTATTTATTTTTATTATTATTATTATTATTATTATTATTATTATTATTATTATTATTTTCATGTGTGTGATGTGGATGGGGGGCACAAGTGCCTCAGCATGCATGTGGAGGTTGGAGAACAGCTCGTGGTTAGTTCTCTCCTTCCTCTATATGAGTTCCGACCATCAGACTCGGGCCACTAGGTCTGTCTGATAAATCTTTAGCTGCTGCACCATCGCACTGACCCCAGGTTGTCTTCTCACCATAGTTGTTTGGAGCCAGAGGTACTGGTGTACCCCTATAATTCCAGCATTTCAGAGTCCGAGGCAGAAAGATTGAGAGTTCAAGACCAACCAGGATTACATGAGCAATAATTCTCTTAATTTCTTTTTATATGAGCCTAACAAAATTGGTAACAAAAGCAAAAGCATTAAACTAAAAAAGCTTCTGTTTAACAAACAAAACAATCACCAGAGTGAAGAGCTAAAATAAAAGAGGTTATGAAATATTTGAGTTCCTTATATATTTTGGATATTAATGCATTAGTAGGTATATGGTTGGCATCAATTTTCTTCCATTCTGTTTTATTGCTGGTGCATTAGGCTCACACCTAAAAGCACCTTTGCTCAAACCAGGGTTGTGAGCTTCCCCCTGTGCCTCTTCTGGGGGGTGGGGGGTTGCAGTTTCACGTCCTAGGCTTGGAGTCTTTAACCCAGTTTCAGTTGCTCTTTGTGTTTGATATGAGGTCAGCATCTAATAATCTTTGTGTTGACCTCTGGATTTCCCAGCACCATTTGTTGAAGGGACTCTTCTGTCCCCTTTGTCCGTTCTTTGTCACAAACCAATTAATCAGTGTGTGGCTTTATTTCTGAGCACTCTATTCTTTGTTTGGTCTGTTGAGTGTTTGTTTCTGCGGCAGGGTCTCCCTATGTATACCAAGCCTGACTTAAATTCTAGATTCTCCTGCCCTACTGGATTGCAGATATGTGCCAGGATACCCTCTGGACCCTGTATTCCAGAAATATATGTGTTTTGTTATCCTAATATTATTCTGTTTTTGTCCGAATAGCTTTGAAGTAGATGTTGCAATCAGATAATGTAATGCCTCTGGCTTTGCTCTTCTTCCTCAAAATTGCTTTAGCTTTTTGGAGTTTCTATGGTTACATATGAATTTTAGCATTGCTTTCTCGACTTCAGTGGAAATGTTATTGGAATTTTGGTAAGGATCACATTGAATTTTCAGATTTCTTTAGAGAGTAGGGACATTTTACCAATTTGCATTCTAGTCTATGAATACAGAATATCTTTCTACTTATGGCCTCTGAAGTTCTTTCATAAATGATTCTTGGTGTTTAGTGCTTAGACCTTTCATGTTATTCATTAAAAAAAAGTTCCCTAGAATTTTTGATGTTGTTGTTTTAATTCTTTAACTTCATGTCCTAATCTAGTAAGAGTCAGCACTCAGGATCCTGTAATGAAGTTTAAAAACCAACCAAACAACAACAACAACAACAAAAGAACCATTTAGGGCCCCTGGCACCTAGCAGGCATGATGCTAAGTAATGGGTATATCACAGAGATGAAAGAAACATGATCTCCTTCCTGGCGGAGCTTGCGAATGTGTGTGATGAGCATGGTCCTGCTCGGCCAACCACTGAGCGAGTGGGAAAGCTGCAGGAGTAAGGGGTTTAAGCCAGAACTTAGTAGGACTTACTCAAGCCTGCAGATGGAGATATGGAGTTTCAGGACAGCCAGGGCTAACTAGTGAGACCCTGTCTTGATCCCCAGCCCCTGAATAAGCAAGCACACATACGCACACACACAAACACACACGCGCACACACACACACACACACACACATACAAAACAAGTTGAAGGAACCCTAGATAGTGGTTAGAAGCAGGAGAAGAGAGCAAGCATTTTTTGAGTCAGGTTCTGTGCTGTGTGTCATCTTACTGACAGTAATATTTCAGTTCTGATAGCTCTACAGTATGACATATATATTATATGTTATATAATACATAAAATGCTTATATAATATATATGTAATGCCATATATGTGTGCATATATGCCATATATATGCCATTACATATATATGCTGGAGGCAGCTAGTGCTAGCTTATTCAATAGCTCCATGATATTAACTTGAAATCACCAAGGATCATTTATACTTTGGAAGTGGGCAAATGCCACAGATCAGAGCTCTCTCCCCCAGCTCCTCAGTCCTACTCCTCAAAAGTCATATTATTGGGACAAAACATAACTGTCTTTACCACAGAAGGAACACATACTTAAAGAAGTGAACGCTCCGCCTTTCAAGCACTCCTTAACTCCTGTGGCTTTCCAAAGTTGAGGGGTGCGGTACTTCTCATGCCTGACAACTTAATTGATGCCCAAATGAATATAATACAAGTGAATTATAGTGTCTCTCAAATGTTGTATAGGAAAATAGTTCTGAACGAGTTGAGGGAAGGAACTCAGAGTTCCTGCAAATCCAGCAGTTACTCTCTGGGTTTGTTGGTTAGGAGTTATGAGTAGGTGCGGTCAGCTATCAAGAGCATCATTGAACAAAGGGGAAGTGGAAGACGTGGGAAGGAGGAAAGAATCACTACTGAATTGTTTCAAAATATGTAATTCATACACCACACCTCAGTGAGTTGCTAGGAAGTTGAATGAAGCACTCTGTTTCCCTCCGGGGCGTGCCGTTTTAAAAGGATGTATAAGGCTGGAGAAGCAGTCTACGTCAGAGCGCTCTTCAGGCTCTGGGATTGGTCCACCAGTATATAGAATAGAAAATATATAGAGACTAGAATAGTGTTAGGTAGCATGTGCTTAAACAGTTCTCAGGAATACATGACCGTATTTCACGTCCCTCTGCTAGCCTCACCTCTGTAAGCCACCACTCTCTTCCTTAAAGTCTGTGATGAGGGAGGTCGAGATAATGAGCTCATTGTAAGATCCCTCCCTCGGTCCCTGGAGAATCTCATTCTCAGGAACTCTCCCTTTCTTTCATGTGGAAACAGTTGCAGTGTGCAGTTACTGTATTTGCTACGTACTAGGAGCTGTGCTATGTATTCACCAGCTTCCTCTTCCTGTCCTAAACACCTTGAGATGTTAAGTAAAGAGAGAAGAGCTTTCTTTGGCTCACGGTTTTGGAGGCTCCAGTAAATGATTGGTTGGTCCGATGGCTTTGGGGCCTTTGATGAGGCAGTGCCTAGTGTTGGTGTTGTGGCGTACCTGATGAAGTGACAGGCTTACCTCGTGGGAAGCAGAGTCAGGGAGAGTGAAGGAATTAAAGTCTCTCGCTTTTACAACTGAATTTAGGTTTCAGTTCTCTGTGAGGGAAAAACAGGTGTCTCTCCCAACAAGAGTCACTTTTTCCACAACATCCTTGCATTCAGGGATGAGGGAAAGAACACTTATAAGGCCTAATGCAGCCTCCCAATGTCTAAGGACAAGCTCTGCAGCCCCTTCTGGGTTGTGTCCGGAGTTGCCCAAACTTGTGCAAGTATGTCCAAAAATGGTAAGACTAAACCTCAGCCAATTAGAAGTACACTAGTGTAACTGCTGCTTGTTTAACCAATTGTGTTCAAGATGAACCAACTGCCCCTGAGATTCCCTTAGCTGTGCTTAAAGGGAGCCTGCTGCATGCTCCTCTCAGGGTCGCTACCATTTTGTATAGGTGTCGACCCTGCACACTGGAGTATTAATAAACACTCTCTGTTTTTGCATACTATTTGAGTCTGGGGTCTTCCTTCAGCGTTTTCTTAGAGCCCTACATTAGTAGATGCTGAAGACTCCAAATCTTTCTCAAGGTACTTCACCAATGAACTAACTGCCTTCGATGAAGCCCTGCATCTTAAAGGTTGAACCACCTCCCACTAGGGCTATAGACTGAGGACCAAGCCACTTCCTTAACATTCTGTTGATTATTTAGTAGCCAGTGCAAGTAATTGTAAAAATTATCTTTTATTTACATTAAATTAGACAGGAAAAGATTTGGTAAGCACTATCTATCTATGTATTGTTTTCCATATCTTTGTTATGGAAGAACTCATATTAATTACCTATTTCCAGTGCTTTGTGTGTATGTGTGTACACCTGTGTAGTCAAGGCTTGAGCCTAAGGTCTTGAACGCTAGGAAAGTGCTGTGTGTATGTGTGTGTGTGTGTGTGTGTGAGAGAGAGAGAGAGAGAGAGAGAGAGAGAGAGAGAGTAGACATGCATGAGAAAGTCAGAGGATAACTACTTTTAGGAGGCAATTTGCTCTTTCTTTTATGTGGGATTCCGGATATAAACTCAGGCTTGCAAGTACATTGAGTGGTAATGGCTTTACCTGCTGGGGGACCTTGCTGAGCCTGCCAAACCTCTTTAGCTGTGTGCTTTGTTCCAGTGCTCTGGTGACCCGGAGTTGGTGGCTTCCAAGCCTCTCATTCATTGCAGAAAGACAGAATCTTTCGGCCCCAGGGTTCTGACTGCATTAACACAGAGTATAACTAAATGTCTTCCTGCCCCCAAATGTGGTTATTTTTTGTTTCTACTGATGCTCAGAAATGTGGCCTCATTTTTGCACGGCACAAACACGTGCTGGTGTTTAGGGCGCCTGCACTTTCCCTTTTCCAGCACCGCCGGTGTGTTTCCTTAAGCAAGTGGGATCTTTGTAACCAGACGATGATCACTCTCGCTAACCCTGTTTTCTCCATTCCCTGGTACCCACTGAGTCTTCTAGAAACACGTTGGCCTTTGTGCTCAACAGGACAGACAAAAGGTTAAATGAAGGAGACCCACAGGCCATGTTTGTCCCTGCCTGAACCTGAAGGACAGCGATCTACCTTCATCTGTCTGCTCAGGTGTCTCTTAGCCACTCTCCCTTTTATGCCCCATCACCCACATGCGCAAGGCCCTACTACACTGGGTGTCTTTAAGGTCATTTCTTTTGTTTTTGGTCCACTCCCAGTTATAAGGTTCTTGCTCTTTAAAGCAGTATAATCATTATTTTTATTATTATTTATTATTATTAGTGTGTGTGTGTGTGTGTGAGACATGCCACTGCATTGTGTAAGGACAACTTGTGTGTCTGTTTCTTCTTCCACCTTTACATGGTTCCGAGGGTTCCAGGCTTCTGGAACTCACCTGAAACATCTCACCCATGGGCCCCAAGACTCTTGCTTTCAAACTGGTTGTGATGCCTCCTTCCGATAACTTTATGATAAATTTTAGATGTATTTATTTATTTTGAGGCAGGGGCTGTCTGTCTCAAGTCATTCCCCTTCTTCAGCTTGCCCTTGGGTGCGCTGGGATGATAGGTGGATTTTTAAAAATCAGGGGTTTGGGTTCTAACTTTTCTTCAAAGCACTGGCCTTACCACCTTTTAAAAAGATGTTTGCAAAGTGAATTTTGTAGAATTCTTTCTTTTCCTGTTCTTCAATTAGGTATTCCTGTGTCCAGTTATTCGTACATCAGCAGGGAGCCCCAAATGAATCACTTGAGCGCTGCCTTCTTTACAGGGCCAGCCGTGGCTTCCTCATCCGTACGGCCAGAAACCGACTCATCTTGTTTATCCTTTTCTTTCTTTTCATTTGTCTGTTTACTTGTTGTGAGCCTGGTTCTCACAGTTGTTGTCCAGGCTGGCTTTGAACTCGGGGTTCAAGCCATGGCTCGCTGGGGCTCCATTGGTCACCCCCAATGCCCCGCTCTCACACACCATTTGAAAAGCACGTTCACTCGTTCTATGTTTCATGCATTCTGCAAAGATCCTTGTGGACAAAGTGATACATTGGATGAAACGGTGGCTTCCTTCGTGATGCAGAACTTTATCTTTGGGGGTCTGAATCTTGCGGCGATTAGACACAGAAGACACAAACTTAAGAGGACCCCCGACGTTGTTACAAGGATGGCCACTGGGGTCTGTTGAAAACCAGCTGATCCCAAACTGTCCTGCTCAGCAGTTCTATTCTTGACTTGTTCTGGAGTTTTAGCCCTCACCAGTTTCACTCTTAAGCCCAGGTATGTTTCTGAAGAGTCAGCCTGAGCCTGACACCAGCCCAGCTCGGCATGCCGTCCTCCTCTTTCCTCGGTCACTATATGGATGATTAAAAGATATTAAACTGCTCTTTTAATATAAATTAAGTTGTAATTTATTTTTCTCACTAGGAATTGAAATTTAAGCTTTCTAAGTCAATTTTAGGTACTGTATCTGTTTCCATCCAATGGTATTCAGCATTTTTATTTCTTTTGAAATAAAAAGGGGTAATCATTAATATACCGATGGGACACTTATTTCCGTCCCTCCATCTCATTCGTCCTTGCAACCAAAGAGTCTAGTGGCCAAGTTGGATAGGTTTGACCTTAAGCCCAGGGCTGTGGAGACTAAGGCCAGGAACAAACTCAAGGCCAGTCAGAAAAAGAAACAGACAAAATTCAAGTAGGGTGAGGTATCAGGAATACACACAGCCACTGGAGTCGAAGTCCAGAGTCTTAGGGAAGAATGCAGAAGTGGGCCCAGCATGTGAGACCACACTGCTCACTCAGGACGTCTGTGACTTCAGTGTGGCTGATGGACGTGCTCAGAACGTCAACTGTCCAGGCATCCCCTGAGGGCCACCGAGTAGGAGAGTGAGATTCTGCCTGAACTCTAAAACGCACCCCGACTCTGGCTGAAGCTCCCTGGTTAGAATATTTTTATTATTTCTTTGTGAAAGCTGAATATATTTTAATTAATATTACATTGTCATATTAATTAATTATATCACTTTAATACTCAGCTACAAATTGATTAGAGAAAATTAGAATTTGATTGAAAATGATTTTGCAAAGACTTTATTGCTCTGAGAGAGAGGGTGAGTAGTCCATGGATTCAGTCATAGGAGACGTCCTCCTATCATCCCTCTCTGTATGTATCAAGGGCAGTGCAGAGTCTGTGGCCATGGGTGTCACCCTTACTGTGGGAAAGAAAAAAGACAATATATTCTCAGGCTACTTATGGAAGCTGAGACTGTTCTTTTCCTAATCCATTTCTCTGTAACTTAATTTCTGTGCTTTTCTCATTTATCCTTAGGTACCAAAGGAAGAAATAAAGGAGAATTCACAAACCTTCAGGGTGTAGCTGCATCCACGAGTGGAAAGATATTAATTGCAGATAGTAATAACCAGTGTGTGCAGGTATAGCTCTACGTGTGTTCCTCTGACTGCTTGTGTTGGCTAGAGATGGGTGTGTGCTTCTCTGTGTTAGAGTCAAGATAAATGGTATGGGGAAGAAACAAAAGGAATATGTAGACTTTTGTTTTTGTTTTCTTGTGTGCACATGTGTGCAAGCACGTGTGTGTGTGTGTGTGTGTGTGTGTGTGCATGGGACTTTCTTAAACAACACTGACATGTTCTGATGTACAGTGTATATGACAAATGCCTTTTCTTGCTCCGTGGATTTTTGTGCTAGTTCAGATTCTAATGAATCTAAATTCATTGCATAGATATTTTCCAATGATGGACAATTCAAAAGCCGCTTTGGCATCCGAGGACGATCACCTGGACAGCTACAGCGGCCCACGGGGGTAGCAGTGCACCCCAGTGGGGACATCATCATCGCAGATTATGACAACAAGTGGGTTAGCATTTTCTCCAATGATGGAAAGTTTAAGGTAAGAGTGACCACCATTTGGCCCCTAAATAGTAGAAAGAACAAAAAAAGTGGCATTAAATTATATTTTTCTTTGTTTAAATCCAATCCAATATTCCATAATTATTCATATGGAGTCCTCAATCTCAGTTTTATAAAATGAGAGTAGCTGTGATAATTTTATAAACTTGCTTTCTCATATGCATATAGATACATATACATGCACACACACCTATATAGTCTACATGTGATTTATTTTATAAAGCAATAGTTTGCTTGATTGCTTTAAAAAAATCATGCTTACTGGAAAACTATATTGGTTACTTCAATTTGATTCAGAAGAAACAAAGTCTCCTGCAAAGGGTTATAAAGTAGCAGTTTGTGATTCTCAATTAATTTTCAAACTGTCACAAAGTACATTTTACTTTCTCAGGTCTGTGGTGGAAGACACAGAAGAAACAACATGATAATGTACATTTCTCACCTTTAAAGCACACACATTGAATGTCAGTTGTACATTATTTGTTATAGCCTGAAAACGCAAGATTAAAGAATATCACATAGAACTAGGAAGGAAAAGGAAATGGAGGCTGTACAGCAATGGTGCCAGTTCCCCTCCATCCTGGGATCCTGTCATGTGATATGTGCTATTGCCTAGTGATGGCGCCAGTTCCCCTACACCCTGGGATCCTCTCATGTGTTATGTATGGTACCCTTCTAGCCCCTTTTTGCAAAATGTAAACATGGTGTCTCTTTTAGTCAGCTCTTTATTGCTGAGACAAATTGTCTAAGAAAATCGACTTAGGAACTATTTAGTTTGGTCCACAATTTTGCAGGTCTTCAGTCCACTGACACTTAGCTCATGTGCCTTGGTCCTGTGGCAAAGTGAAACACATGAGGGAGAGAGGAAAGCAGAGAGAAGAGGAAGCGATTGGGCTCCATGGCCTCCTTCAGGGATATGCCCCAATGACCTCCCTTCCTTCCCATTCTGGAATCTTGAAAGCGGATCTCACTCGGTCTCTGATTGAAAGCGTTTGAAGTCTTTGGGTTGCCCTGGTCATCTCATGATATTTACAAGATAATATTTATGAGATGAGTTACATGCGTTTTACTCTTAGATTAGAGGCCTTGTGTTATGTGGGGCAGTACCTTTTCAACCCACAGAAATAAAAGAAACATTGCATTATTGCACGTGGGTATTCAGTAGACCCTGAACTTTTTGTGCTGCTAGAAACCGCTCCATATAATGGTCCTTTGTCCAGAAAGTTCTCTCATCTTCCTGTATCTTCCAACACCCAAATCTGATGGCTCTGCTAGGAGCATGAGGAAAACCGGTAGCTTTCCTCTCAAAAGTCCTCATCTGGAGAAACCTACTTATATCTTTTCTCACACTCCAGCAAAAATGGTTATTGATCTGTACATGGGGAGCCCACACTGCAGCCGCTTCTGAAAACTGAGTTTTGCTAGCTAAGAGAGAGGGACTCCCTGATGGAGACGTTTCATGCTCATGACTTGATATTTCAATACTTGTAATAAATACTTGGAAGAACAGGTCTTAAAATTGGGCGCTGCTGGCAGTAAGTGCAGTCAACACTGTGAAGCACTTGTGCCCCCTAGAGGACAGGGGGAGGGATGTTCCCTACTGCACCTCGTTAAGACAGATGTTGATGAGAACCCATTAAGGTAAAGGAATAGCACAATGAAAGAATCTGAGTACTGTAAAAAAAAAAAGTTTACCCAGAAAACATGGCATGCACAATGCAACATAAGAAGGCAATTCTATTATCTGTGACGGCACGGGTGGAACTAGAAGGAATTATGTGTGGTGGCTTTCTTTTTAAATGAGAATAGCTCAAATAATCTAATATATTTGAATGTCTGGCTCCCAGTTGGTAGAACTGGCTGGGAAGGATTAGGAGGTACAGCCTTGTTGAGGAAGGTATTTCACAGGGGTGTGCTTCAAGATTTCAAAAGCCCACATCATTCCAGTTAGCACTTGCTCTCCCTTGTGGCTGTTGCTTCAACATGTGAGCTCTCAGTTGATGCTCCAGAATCATGCTTGCCTTCTGCCATGCTTGCCACCATGATGGTCATAGACTCACCCTCTAAAACTCTAAGCTGATGTGGGATGCTCTTCTGTATATGTGTTGCTTTTATTGGTTGATGAATAAATTTTTTGGCCAATGCGGGGAGGGAGGGGTGGCGGGAGGAGTTCACCAAGATGTGCAGGCTACAATGTAGCATCCAGACCCAGACATGCAGGTTACAATATAGCATCTAGACCCAGCCGTGAAGGCTACAATGTAGCATCTGGACCCAGCCATGAAGGCTACAATGTAGCATCTGGACCCAGCCATGAAGGCTACAATGTAGCATCTGGACCCAGAAATGAAGGCTACAATGTAGCATCCGGACCCAGACGTTCAGGCTACAATGTATTATCCGGACCCAGACGTGCAGGCTACAATGTAGCATCCAGAAATGATTGATTTTGCTTCTTTAATGGGACTTGGTGAAATCAACAGAGTAACTGACTTGCCTTCTACCACAGCACAGTCTTTGTATTTATTCCTATTTATCTCAGATGTGTAGCATCTTACTACCGTTTTTACAAACAGTCTTATAGTGTAATGTTTATCATTCTTTGCCCCCTTTACTGTTTTCTCTTTCGTCTTCCCTCATGTCTTATACCTTCTAACCCATTTGGGAGTCTTTGGTAATCAGAAATGAGCACAAATCTGGTGACCTTTATGACCACTGTATTCTAAAATGTCTTAGCTTTTCCCTCTTGAATTTGCAAGCCATTTGTTAGGTGTTTTCATTTGACTGTCTAATGACAAGCTCTGAGCTATGTTTCTTACTGTTCTAAGATGGCAAGGAAACACAGTGAGGTGAAACACATGGCTTCTTATTCAGCTTTGCCGAATTTAGTGCAGCTGAACTGGAAACAAAAGGAGGAGTGGGACATTTGGTTTCAGCTTTGAGTTGTGCTTGTTGATCTGCCCAGTCGGCATCCTATGGTAAAACCAAGATAATCCTTTGGCTTCTGTTTTCATTCTAGATAATTATCCACTTGCTATTATATGGTTGAGTCACTCTGAGTAACTACTGTTGTCTGTAATGTTAAGTAGTAGTCATATTAGGTAGTAATGAACAGGGTGCCAGCTCTCCTTTTGATCTGGCATGACACCTTCCTTTCAGACTTGAAAGCACGTGAGCGATTGCCGTCCGTGCCATTATGTTAGAGCCTCTTTGATCCTCGGGCTCCATTGCAGCGTCAGAATCAAACTTACACAAGCGGTTCCCTGGCCTAAGACGAAATGCTTCCTTTCAAAGTCCTTGTGTCTCTCTGCTCTAACGAGGTCACATCTGAATCTCTGTCATTTGTAAACTTGGAAGAACAAAGCCTCCCGTGAGAAGTCTTGCTTGGAGAAAGCTCCATTGCTGTATCAGGAAATTAAGAAAATATACATGGAGGCTGGAGAGACCATGATGAAGAGGCAATGGATGAAGGATTTGTTGTTCTTGTAGAGAACCCGGCACCCACATGTGCTGTCACTGCGGTTCTGGGGGCTCTGATGCCTTCTTCTGACCTCTTAAGTCACTAACCACACACATCAAGCACAGACACACAAGTCAGGAAGACACTCATACACATAAAGTAAAACAAATAAAGAACAAACTAAAGCGTTCACTGGGGCTCACAGATTTTCATCAGGTAGTGCTAAAATAGAGACAGAAAGGACTCTGGAGCAGAACATAGAAAATGTAATTGGTGGGGATTGATTTTTAATTTAAAAGACACTGCAAATAGGCTTTTAAAATGTGTACAAAAAAGTCTAAAATAAAAAATAAGAGTGTAGTAAGGAGGCCACTTGTTGGTTCCTGGCTGCTCATAACCAAAATAATCACCCAGAAACTATATTGATTAAACCACTACTTGGCCCATTAACTCTAACTTCTTATTGGCTAATTCTTACATCTTAATTTAATCCATCTCCATTAATCTGTGCATCACCACGAGGTCGTGGCACCAACAAAGTTTTAGCGCATCTGTCTCCTGCAAAAGGTCCATGGCTTCTCACTAACTCCTCCTCCTTTCTCCCAGCATTCAGTTTAGTTTTCCCTGCCTACCTCTATTCCCTGCACAGGCCCAAGACAGTTTATTAACCAATGGTATTCACGGCATACAGAGGGGAATTCCACACCATAAGAATTCCTCTTGCCTTCACTGACCCCACTTTTTAGGCTGAAGCCTCTGGTGTCTGACTTTTTCCCCCCAGAAGTCCAGTCTCCATGTGGGGTTGGTTCCAGGATCCTCCATGAACTCCAAGACCCAAGATTGTTCAAGGTTTCTCCTACAAAATGATACAGTTTGCCATTCACATCTATATACTTAATCATCTCTAGATTACTTACACCTGATACAATGTAAGTGCCTTGTAGATATTTATTGTGTTGTATTGTCTAGGGAACTGTAACAAGAAAAATGTCTGCATACATTCAGTAGAGATACAAGTGGGGTGTCCCCCCCCAATATCTTTGATATGAGATTGGTTGAAAGTCAACTTTCATTGACCTGTGGAGATCTTGTCTGCTGGACCTGGGATCTGAGGACCTGAAAGAATGGGGCAGACTACAGTCTAATACTGTAGACCATCTTGCTTTGGTTTCAGTATATTTTTATACATGAATAGAACAAAGCAGGCAATGTTCCAAAGAAGGTTGCTTCAGTTCTCAGAAGCATGATCAGAAAAATAGCTAGGCGATGGTGGTGCACGCGCCTTTGATCCCAGCACTCAGGAAGGCAAAGGTAGGCAGATCTCTGTGGGTTTGAGGCCAACCTGGTATACAGGGTGAGTTCCAGGACCGCCCAGAGATACACAGAGAAACTCTATCTTGAAAAACCAAAAGAGGAAAAAAAAAAAGGAAGGAAGGAAGAAAAGCATGTAAATAAACAACTTTAAGCACATACTAAATATTAACAGAGAAGCTCTTTCCTAGAACATTCTCAGGACAGAACAATTTAAACACTATTGCCTGGCGTGTTCTGTACATTATATCTGGGAAAGCACCAAAGCCAGGCAGAAGGCCATATCTAGATTCAGGGTCCACTGACCAGGTCGGTTCTATAACTGTGTTCTGATATCCAACAAGAATCAACATGTCTTATAAATTGATATAAATGTTTGTCACAGAAGGTGCATAAACCTGTCCAAGAGCAATCCAGGGCACGGAATGCGCCCGAGAGCAAAGGCCCTGCGTCTTTTTCTCTGAAGCCTCTCTCACGGTTCCCTAAGACATAGTTCACCATGGGTCATTCTTTTGACTGTGTTCCGACAGTTGAACCTATAACTGCAGAACTAAAGTATATGGAAGCATATGGTTGAGAAGAACTCTAATGCTTTGCTCCCCCTTATTAAATAAAAGCAACACACAGACAGAAGGCCCTCCCACACCAACTGTGAAAATTAGAGCATTTAGTCATGATTGGGCAGCTGGAGAGATGCCTCAGTCTGTAAAGTACTGTCTACGTAAGCATGGGAACCTGAGTTTTATCCCCAAAACACATGCTAAAAAAAAATACCAGGTGATAATGTGCGCTGGTGAGGCTAAGAAGGGAAGATCCCAGGGATCCCTGGCCTACCTCCTGCTTCTACTTCCCTGGTTTGCAAGCTGGAAGCCAATGAGAGACTCTGCCTCAAAACACGAGGTCTCCTGGTGAACAACACCCAAAGTTGACCTCTGGCTTCCACACACACGTACCACACACATACATTTATTTACCTTCCCACATAATACATACACACATGTGCAGATAGTACGTTAGCTTACAAGTAATTCTAGACTTTTGTTTTTTAACGTGGTAAACAAATATGTGTCAGGTACTACTTATATGTCAGTAAGTGTGGGCGGCTTTGAGCACGCAGTGCTAGTCGGGACAGATGTGACTTCCAACCACGTAGAGCTCAAGTCTAGTAAGGTTTAATGCACATGCCTGAGATTTTAGTGCTGAGTGTCATATATAATAGCAGTAGTGATGGTCTCCATTTGGTGACTGCTTGCTTTGCTTACACTGAATCTTTGACACTATTTTACTTACCATTTGCTCCTAAAGTAACATGGGATGTTATTAAAGTTGCTTCTTAAAACATCCTAGAAAAAATATAAGGAATCCTAAGGTTAAAAGAAAATGAGTGAATCTGTCAGTGCGACTTCAGATGTGCTGACAGCAAGCGGCAGGGGTGAAGTGTCTTTCTCTAGACCCTGCGGTCTCTCATCAATTGTCCATTCAGAAGGGCACTGTGGCCCAATTTTGGTGGCAAATACTTCTTAAGAATAAGGTTTTATGGGCTGGAGAGATGGCTCAGTGGTTAAGAGCATTGCCTGCTCTTCCAAGGTCCTGAGTTCAATTCCCAGCAACCACATGGTGGCTCACAACCATCTGTAATAAGGTCTGGTGCCCTCTTCTGGCCTGCAGGCATACACCCAGATAGACTATTGTATACATAACAAATCAATCAATAAATATTTTAAAAAAAAAGAATAAGGTTTTATGTAAATGCCAATAACAGATGCTGAATATGGCAGGGCCAGTTTTCTGGGACAGAGATACCATTGTTCCATGTGGTACCCAGAACATTCCAGCAAATGGCTTTCTAAGACAACTACCTGGCTTCAGGTTGGCTCTGTAATGCTTTGAACATCCATGTCTATACTCAGTTCCTGGACTTGTTTCCAACAGACAAAAATCGGATCGGGAAAACTGATGGGACCTAAAGGAGTTTCTGTGGACCGCAACGGACACATTATTGTGGTGGACAACAAGGCTTGCTGCGTGTTCATCTTCCAGCCGAATGGGAAGATAGTCACCAGGTTTGGTAGCCGAGGCAATGGCGACAGGCAGTTTGCAGGTACACTCGACGGTAATATGTAAACTCCCTCTTTTATGCCTCTTCCGCTCATGTTTGCATGTCTGAGCATGTTGAAGGCGCCCCATCCCCAGTGTGCGTGCTGGCTTTGGGGGACAGTGTTGGGGGTGGGAGCAAAGCGGAAGCCGTCCTGAGAAGGCTAGGTTGAAAGGGCAACCTTTGTATGGTTTTTACTGATGGCTCACACAGCAGACATCAAATTTTCAAATATGCATATTAAGTAAAACAGTGCCTTTTAAAATAAAATATTTTTTAAAAAATCCCACAAGTGTCAAGAGCAATGAGTAGCTGTTTCCAAGAGCAATGAGTAGCTGTTTCCCGTGGACGCAGTTTTACTGAGGAGCCTGGGGAAGGCATTGATCTCACCTTTGTAGTTTAGCATACAAGAACAGGGGTGTAGGGCATTTGCTTAGAGCAGCGAAGGCAATCTGTTTTACTTTGCTCTGGGCAACTTTGCAATCACAAGCTTGTTAGGATGCGCACATCTGCAGGAAAAGGTTGAGCACAGCCCATTGGTTTCCTTTAAAAGGTTGCCTGGGGGGATTTAGCATTAACTGGCATCTTCTCTTTCTGTGGTTATTCTCTCACTCTTTGTCTGGCCCAGATTCTCAGCAGTCACTCAGGGCTATAAAACGCAGAACTTCTGCTCAGTCTTTTCAGTAGAAAAATTATACTTTGGAGCCTCTTTCCCAGAGCTGAGAATGATAACGCTCTCTTTGTAGGACTCCATCACCTCCACTTAGAAAAAAGGAAGAGGTAGTGGGTGTGGCTTACAGAGGGTGGTACAGAGAAAGGCCAGGACTCCACTCTTCTGTGCGCACTGGGGGAGAGGCCAGATCACACAGCCCCAAGTTTAGAAAGTGCAGAATCCAGCTTGTCTGGAGCTAGATGTCTGGCTGAGTGATTGTCTGTGAGCTGGGCCTCTGGTCCTTTGCCCTTTCTTCATTAATTAAGTCAACGTGTTGCCCGTGTGCAGTGTGATTGTGTGTGCTGTGTGGCGGCGCGTGATGTGTTACCCATGTGCTGTGTGGTGGTGTGTGCTGTGTTGCCCGTGTGCTGTGTGGTGGTGTGTGCTATGTTACCTGTGTGCTGTGTGGAGGCATGTGCTGCATTGCCCGTGTGCTGTGTTGCCCGTGTGCTGTGTTGCCCTTGTGCTGTGTTACCCGTGTGCTGTGCGGCCGTGCCTGCTGTGTTACCCGTGTGCTGTGTGGTGGTGTGTGCTGTGTTGCCCGTGTGCTGTGTGATGGTGTGTGCTATGTTACCTGTGTGCTGTGTGGAGGCATGTGCTGCGTTGCCCATGTGCTGTGTTGCCCGTGTCCTGTGTTACCCGTGTGCTGTGTTACCCGTGTGCGCTGTGGTGGAGCGTGCTGTGTTGCCCGTGTGCTGTGCCCCATGCATCGTCACCGCTGGGACCCTCATGTGTTCTCCCCCTCATTCTGTTGCAGGTCCCCATTTCGCAGCTGTGAATAGCAATAACGAGATCATCGTTACAGATTTCCATAATCATTCCGTCAAGGTACGATCAGCATGCCCGTTGTAGCTCTGAACTGCTTTTGCAGAGAAAGTGGTCTGGCTGGAAATGCTTATCGTGTTCCAGGTGCCGGGTTCAGGCCCCTGCACTAAGGTGGAGGAACCACAATTATGACAGTTAGGGGAAACTTTGAAGTGGGGGTGATAGCCAGCATGAGCAGGATTGCGAGATCAGGAAAGAATTAATGCCAATATTATTAAACAGCAACTCCATCCACGTACAAAACGCAAAGCCATAAAATTATTTCAGCCCTTAGAATGTGTTCTTCTGAGAAATGTGTGAGTAACTAGGTGCCATTAGGGGGAAAGCAGGAAAGATAGGATGTTTGCATCCATTAAAGTTCCAGAAGGGATGGTCTCAGGGTGTAGAGATGCTATTTCAACTGTTCGGGCTCACTTTTCATCGTAAGAACATCATAGCAATTTATTTTATTTTTTTCTCTCTGATAGCTGTTGCAGAGAACGCATGGGTTTTGTTTCCCATGTTACAGCTGTTAGTAGTATCAGGTGATTCTTGCTTAGTAAACATAAAAACCATAAGTCAGAGTTCCTTCCTTCCTTCCTTCCTTCCTCCCTCCCTCCCTCCCTTCCATCTCTCCCTCCCTCCTCCTTCCCTTCCCCCCCTCCCTTCCTTTCTCCTCCCTCCCTTCCCCCTCCCTCCTCCCTCCCTTCCCCCTCCCTCCCTCAGTCCCTCCCTCCTCCCTCCCTTCCCCCTCCCTCCCTCGGTCCCTCCCTCCTTCCTTTCTTCCTTCCTTCCTTTCTTTCAAAGCTACCAGTGTTATTCAGGGATATGCTGTAAGACCCCTAGTGGATACCAAGTCACAAATAGCCACAAATAGTCTAGATTCTAAGATGCTGTGTTTTCTTCTGCATACATACTTAACTATAGTTTAATTCCTAGAAACGACACCAAAAGCAGTCATATCAGCTTTCTGATGTGTTAAAATGTTGGAGAATAACAACTCCAAGCAAAGCTTTCTTTTTGTTCGCGGTCTCAGGGTTTCAGTCATAATTACTTGCAGAAAAAAAGAGAAAGAGAGGCTGAGACAGAGCCTGGGGAGGAGTTATTCCTCCAAGAACACATCTTGGTGATGGTGACCTACCTCATCCAGACAGGTTACGCTGCCTTCAATCTCGGCCACTCACTACTAGTCGGTTCAGCCACGAGCCCGTCAGTAAACAATCCATTGATGAGGTCAGAGCCTTAGAACTCACTCACATCCTAGAAAGTCTACCTCTGAGCATCCCTGTATTTGGGGCCCGGACCTTCAACACATGTAGCCATGGAGACACATTTCAGATACAAAGGCAACAACTAACCATGATAACTAATTATAAAGTGGATCAATTGTAACAGCATCCTGCTGCAGGCGTTAACTTGAAACTGTGCCTTTTTTTTTCTGGAATTTCCTACTTACTTTCCTGCCGTGGTTACAGGCAGCTAGGACCGAGGAAAGTAAAATGCAGAGGGGCAGAGATCCCTGCAAGGATTTTGTTTTAATCATGAGACAACTAAGCCAGGTAGGCATAGTAACTGACTGACCAATCATAGCAGGCATCAGAGAGATTTCCTTCAGAGTTCTTCATTCTGCACTTAGAATAACCTCTGTTGCTTCTTTGGTTCTTCTTCTTCCTTTTTAATGTATGAGTGATCTATCTGCAGGCCAGAAGAGGACACAGGTGGTCGTGAGCCACTATGTGGGTGCTGGGAATTGAACTCAGATCTTCTGGAAGCACAGTCAGTGCTCTTAACCTCTGAGCCATCTCTCCAGCCCTGCCTCTGTTGGTTCTAATCACGGTGGCCTTAGAATTTATAACTAAAATTTAAATTTCTCTGTTTTAACTAAAGTACCGTCTGAAGCAAATAAAACAGTCCTTGTCTGTCCTTCGCCCACGGCCACTGTATATTTCTGTACACATTGGCACACATAATGCATTCTAAGTACGGCACTCAGCCCTACTGCTCTTATTGTGTTGATACAGTAAAATGATAATAAATCCTGAATATTTGGCTTAACAAAATCCTGATCCAAACTGAATGACAATCCACCCTATAGAGATGTAGTCTCAATTCCTGAATTTTTCTTTATTCAGTAAATATAGCTACTTATTTGAAGATAGGATAACATTTAGTATTAGTATTTTTAAAAAAAAATTTCAGCTCTATTTATAACATCTTATATTCTTATAATGTTTTGTAATTTATAAAAAAAATTAATACAGGTATTTCATTTCATAATCGGCTGTAAATGGCAGAAAAAAGAATTTGGCAATCACAGTGATGGGAGTCTAGTCTATAGACCACTTTTCTAGGCTTCTCAAGTCACAGGACTTGTTATAAATAACTTGCTCAGACAGCCATCTCTTAAACACTGTGGTTGGGTCAGCTATTGGCAATAAAAGAGTCTTTCAATATTTCACACAGGTATTTAACCAGGAAGGAGAATTCATGCTGAAGTTTGGCTCGAACGGAGAAGGCAATGGACAGTTTAACGCGCCGACAGGTGTAGCCGTGGATTCGAACGGAAACATCATTGTGGCGGACTGGGGCAACAGCAGGATCCAGGTAGAGCACGGGGCTGACGCGGCTGACAGCGGAAAGCTGTCCGTCCTCCTCGGTTCCGTCAGGACACCACAGCTAATCTCCTGTGAGCCCGGGACACTCTAAGTGGAAAGCTAGACAGAAGGGGACGTCGTTAGCATAGAGTTCTCTAATGCAAAAGTTATTGATGTATTTAATTTTTCGGTTTGAATATTGTTTTCCTCAGACCCCTAAAGGGCTCACAGGTAGGATTCAAGAGAGTTATTGAAGAAAAGAGTATCACATGGGTGATTTACTAATCTGAACATGAAGACTCAGTTCCCTTCATTGTGAACACAGGCAGAAAGCAGTAATTTTAGTAAAACCTCTGACTGCCACTAAAAAAAACCACACACACCACACACACTCATACGCACAAACACACACCACACACATACTACACACACACTACACACACATACACTCACACACACAAACAGCATACACTATACACCACACACACTACATACCACACACACTCACACATACTACACACTTACACATACCACACACACTACACACACTCACACACACACTACACACCACACACACTCACACATACTACACACACACACTCACACACACACTACATACCACACACACTCTCACACACTACACACACACACTCACACATACCACACACACCACATACATACTCACACCCTCACACATCACACACACATACACACACTGCACACACACCACACATACTCACATACACATACACATTCACACACTATACTCACATACACCACACACTACACTCATACAGTCACACACACCACACACACACATTACACTCACAACCTCCCATGTTGAGGAAGAATTACACCGCCTTCCCCCCAACTAATCTTGTCAGGAAATATACTTATGGATGTTTCCAGAAGCCTTCTCATAGCTGTTTCCAGATCCTGCCAAATCAACAAGCAAGGTTAACTATTGAATATCATGTGTGTGAGGCAGCCCGGACAAACCCAGAAGGCTCTTTACATACTTTTTAAATACATGTTCTGCATCGTATGTAACTTCCATGACGCTCCTATTTTATGTGTGTGCAGGTTTTTGATGGGAGTGGATCATTTTTGTCCTACATCAACACGTCGGCTGACCCCCTCTACGGCCCCCAAGGCCTGGCCCTCACTTCAGACGGCCATGTCGTGGTTGCAGACTCTGGGAACCACTGTTTCAAGGTCTATCGGTACTTACAGTGACAGCGGACAGCCCTGCCCTGAGGTCTTGCACTAGAAACTGGAAAGGAGTTTTCCATGTGGGACCAGATTACCATGGGACTTTTCACACTAGGAGGAACCTTTGGTAAACTTTCCAAGGTTATTTCTGAATGTAACAATTTCCTTAAGAACTGCTTATCCAATTTCCGTAATTCACTTTTAGCATTTAAAAAAAGAATCTCTTCTATTGAATCTGCACAAACTGCAAAGTTTTACACCTGGGAACTATGGCTCATAGGACAGGGATTTATGTAGTTAAACTAATTTTGCAAATCAGACATTAAAAATAATTAGCGTATCTTTTGCCCGGTGAATGAATGGTAGCCTTTGCATCGAGCTTCCAAGAACAAAACTTGTAGTTATCTATTTTATTTAAATTCGGTCATGAGACCAAGGGACCTTTTAACCTCACTTTTACAGTAGATGTTATTTCTCTGGTGACATTTTTGTTCTTTTTCGATTGTCAACAACCACATATAATTACTTTAGAAAAATCTAAGGCTGTCTTGCAAGATCTTCCCAGCTCTGACTCAGGGTCCTCTTGAGTTGAGCCCATCAGAATCAATGCAAATTTCCCAACCTTTCGGGGTTCGATCAAAGATCTTTTCCGTGTGTTCTCCTCACCTTCTCTTTCTATTCACCTTGCATCAGAAAATGAAATGCGTTTTCAGGAAAACCTGGAATTCCCGATGCTTTGGAAGGCATAGGGGGACCCTTTGGTTGTTAGCTTCAGATCAACACACTGGAAAGCAATCAGGAGAACTCACGTTCATGTGTTCACGTCTTTCCTCTTCCACATCATGGAAGCGAAAGCTTTACCTCCTGCAGAATGTCAGCACATGTAGTCGGACACCGGTGTCCTAGGACAGAGAGGACGGAGGACGGATGGTGTCAACCAAAGGCATGTGGTTGATTCACGGTCTCCCCTTAGAGAGCAAGTGTTACCAAAGTTGTGTTGAGCATTACAGGTATGGGCATGTCATGGTTGTTTATCATTGTCTAATGAACAGTAGAGGCGTTAAGGGACAAGTATACATGGTTAGGGTAAGATAGAATGTATTATAAATATTATATATATAAATACATACGTATAGCCGAATCCTTGCTGTGTGGAAATAGTCAGCACTCGGAAAGACAGAAGCACCGCCCAGCCAGCCTCCAGCTCATTCCCCGGCTGCTGCAGTTGAAGACATCGTCCTGGAGGGGGCGCTCCAGCAGGCTCGCCTGTTGCCGTTTTTTCCGGCTTGATGCGGATGCCTGACTTCCAGGCAGCGAACGGCTTTCTGTTTTCAAGACAAAGAGGAAGAAAGAAAAAAGAAAAAAGGCGTCTTTAAACGATGGGTTTGAGTTACCTTTCACCTACGTACAAATGCATTATAAGGAACATTACCTGTCACGGATACTGTGAAATTAGACGAGGTGTGTTTCCACTGTTGTTTGATTTTTCTACTCAGTTCTGCCAAATAGGAAAACCGTGTTTGACGCGTTTGATGATGACTTTGGGATTTCTCTCGTTGAAAGCACCTTAGATCCACACTTTGAGGAAACACTTCCCTTAGAAGTATATGCTGGTGTTTATGGCTTATTATCTTAAAGTCCTAATGGTCTCCATACAGGAGCGTTCAAAAATTTGGAAGGAAAATCTGGCTACGTCCAATGGTTGATTTAATTTATTATGCCCAAATCAACATCTGGAGGAAAACACTTCATTTTCAGGAGATTTACATTGGGTGTAGCTTATTATTATTTCAGTTCTGTGGGGTTTTAAAATAGCCAAGCCTGTCTGTGATAGACATAAGATTAAATATGCTTCAGAGTGATAAACTAAGATGGCTTCTGAATATCATGAAATATGCCTTTGACTTTATGTTTTGATTTTTTTTTTTTTTTTTTTTTTTTTTTTTTGGTTTGGTGCTAGGCATGGACCCCATGGCCTCAGACATGCTAAGCAAGAGCCCCCTATACTGGGCTGTTCTTGTAGCCCATTCATTATGAATGTCAATATTTGTGTCTACAGACTTCCTACTGGGGCCAGGGCATCTGGGCACTGGGATCTGAGGGATGCTTGGAAGAGACAGGCATCTCGGCCCTTCTACAGCTTATATTCTGTAAGGGGATTTCTGCTGTGCTGTTTATTAATAGTCTGCCTGCAGGATTATTTCTGGGCTGTTTAAAAGAAACTTTTTAAAAATGAGTGAATTAATTTTAGTTAATTTTCACAGGAAGAAAACAATTTTTTTTTAAATTTGCCACAGGCCATTTTTGTTGTTGTTGTTTTGTTTCTTAGAATGGAATCCAGGCCCCAGACATGCAGGCACATGCTCTACAACTGATGGGTGCCTTCAGATTGCAACTATTAATTTGAAAATGAATTTAATGAATGAGTTCTTTTTGTACAACACTGAGACATTTGTGAACTGAGAAATTAACTCATAAACCAATCAGTCCATATATAAAATATCTTATCAGGCTCAGTATCTTAATAGGAAATAATACAAATTAAGGGTTTTTTTAATTAATTTATTTTATTTTATTTTATTTTTTTTTTTGAGACAGGGTTTCTCTGTACAATAGTCCTGGGTGTCCTGGAACTTGTCTTGTAGACCAAATTGGCCCCGAACTCACTGAGATCCTCCTGTTCTGCCTCCCAAGTGCTGGGATCAAAAGCATGGGATCAACCACTGCTACCCTGCTGAGGTTTTTTGTTTGCTTTGCTTTGTTTTGTTTTCTTAACACATGAATAATGGTACAAACTGGAATGAAAAAAATCATTTAATTTATATTTTGTCTGCCATCAGCTACTAAAACCCCTGCTATGGGCACTGCAGGAAACACTACGTTCTACACTTGGGTATATGTGCACAGTTACTGTATTTCTTCGTGGTAAGCATATTTTGGGGCGGGCGGAAAGTGGCTGCTGCTAAGATACAAATAGACAAAAACTAAATGAAATCTTGTCTCATTTGATGGGAATGGTTCCTGGTAAACTTAAGAAGGATTTTTTTATAAGTAAGTGGCTCTTTTGGTTCTAGGCTACTGTGATTGTTTATCTTTGTCCGCTGTATAGAACGAGTCACTCATGATACTACGTAGCACTGAGAAAGTAAGCATTCGAATTTCCCTTGGGCACTAAGGGCAAAATACCTCCAGTTAGGTTTTATAAGTTAATGACAGTGTGTCTTCTCTCGTAAACCTCCCCTGCTGGACACGGGGCGGTAGGAAGTCTCCTGACCAACCAGAAACACACTAACGAGGAAGCCTTTCTGACTCTTGGCCATTTTCTTAATGATGTGTAAGGTTTTGATGACACTTTAGTCTCCATGACTAAACAAGCCCGAGTTTCCTGCACTTGACAAAACTGGAGGCAATAAGTATGCCTGGTCCATGCAGCTGCTGGACACCTGCTCCCACTCATGTACAGGGTATGTATGTCCTCACAGGGAATGAACTGGACGAGCAGTATGCCACCAGGGTTAGCAGAATTGCTTTGGTAATACCTACAGAGGAAACGAGAGAGCAGATCAGCACCGGGCTATCTGTAGATCACGTCAATCGGGAAAAGTCTCTGTGTGCGTCTGGACTCCACAGCGTTCTCTCTGCTCACCAGCTTCTGACGAGGGAAGAGGGACTCTCCAAGTAGGATAAAATTGAAGCTTTCTGATGCAAACCTTAGCTAATCTCCCTTACAATCGGAAAGTCCTAATACTGTTACTTTCTGTAAGCGTTGCAGGGTCTTAAAATTTACAGTTATTTTAATATTTTTGATAACTAGGAATCTAGCATTGCCATAAAGGAAACTAAGTGCCCATTAAAAATTTGTCTGGTATAAACAGATGCTCTTTTGGTTTTGCTTTAAACGACAGTGAGCGACACATCGCGGCGCTAGTCTTCAAAATGCTTTCCAGTGATGAACTGTGTGGTAGCTGATCGCGTGGTCTGTCTGTGGAGAGTGTATGGCTGCTACTCATCGGTACCCTAGAAGAGATTAACAATCAGCTGTGTCGTTCCAATGAATGTACAGCACTTCTATTAACGGTTGAAAGCAACGCGGCCTTAACCTCGACGCTTTTGCTTTACGACCTGGGGTATTGTGTCAGCGACCAAGGGTGCCCTCCCGACATTATCATTCCCAGCCGAGCAGCCTTCCGAGCCCGCCCACGGGTAGGGAGGTTGTTTGTTTCCTTTTCGTTCCTATGAAGGTTTTGTACATTCCGCCTTTACAGATCTGTCTCACACATTCTGTGTATAGAACGCTGGTCTCGTGTTCTTTGCCATCAATTATTGCTATAACCTCCTCATATGTTCTTTTCATGGGTCGAAATGCCGACTGCCTATTTACACGGAAGAATGGACACTGTGCATCAGTGTGTTTGGATGTTCGTAGCTACATACGTGCCACAGTATTTTGGATGCTTTAGTCTAATAAAACTTTAAATTAATTCTGTCTTGAAACATAGGAGAAACAAGGTTTCGTGTGTATATCGTTACCATGCACAGAAATCTCAAATCATTATAATAAAGCTTGTTTTCTCCATTTTCAGACTGAACATTCATTTAACAGATTGCTCCCTGTGTGGAGGGGACTGGGGGCTGTTCTGTACCGTGTAGGAGACTGCAACACCTTGACTAAACTGTTGGGCTAGAGATAAAGGAAAAAAGCTGACTGCTGTTTTTGTTGGTTGTGTTGCCGACTACGTGGTAGTATGAAATTGGAGCTAGGGAAATCCTGACCCAATGGGCAGTGTCTTTATAATCTTCAAAGGGTTTTAAGATGAGATGGCCTTTTCCTGGTCATGGCAGACACTACTATGGGTCAGTGAATCAAGAAGGACCTCACTACAAGTATTATTTCTTGGAACCGAGAATTTATTTACACAGAGTTCATCACAGTAAACGTCTCTGTATTCTATCGAGCTCCTGGATATATACTTCTAACCACAGAACCATCTAGAATACATCGAGCAGTGCTCGCGGAGGCCAGTGTCCGGGAGCTTGATAGTGTGCACACGCCTAATCTTCTCAAAGAAGCTGTTTACCACAGTCCTGGAATTTAAGAAAACACTTCTCAAACAATGCCTCTGTGTGCAACATCCAAGTTGTCATATTCAAAGTTTTCTATTTCAACAGATTGGAACTCAGAAAGAGGTGGCCAAAGTTAGTCTTAAAAGGAGAGAGAAAGCAACAGAAATTAGAATAAGGGCCTAAATTGACATCCCTGGCTGCTGATTACATAATAATATTATTTTATTAATCTCCACCTCTGTTCTTCACTTTTTTATTATTGTTCTTTTGGTTATTTTGAGGCAAGGTCTTTTGATATTGCTCTGGCTAGCCTGGAATTCATGTAGATCAGGCTGGCTTCGAGCTTGCACCGGGGTTCCTGCATCCCAGCTGTGACTTTTCCTCTCCTCCAAGCAGGTACCATGGCCATCAAGGGCTCCTTGGTGTCTATCAGACTTAAAGAGAAGCACCTCCCATCATCCGGTACCTCGGTCTGTTCACTTGGACCACATCTCACACTTTCCAGAGCAGTAGGATCCAGTGAAAGCTGTGGTTTCTCCTGGCGGAATTGAGGCGGTAGGACAGGTAGACAGGCGTTCAGTCTTTGACCACCGTACCGTCCTTATGCCTCTCTGTAGTGCATGCATATGCACTACATGTGTGTAGCATGCACAGCACGCTAGAGTTCCCACAGTGGAAGGGCTACAAAGATGAGCAACGGAACCTGTGCCACTCAGGAGCTCACGGTTGATGAAACAGACCTAGACTTAGTAGTGTTACACATACACACTTGTAAGTGCTGTTACACTTACACGCTAGCAAGTATGCTGTGACCAACAGAATACCCAGGTACTGTTCTAGTTGTTAGGGGATAGCAAAAGCCCGGGATATGGCAAGTAGGTTTTGATGATGCATACTTACTCTGTGCCAGTTCTCCTTTGTAGGAGCTTTGGACGTTTTTGATACTCACCTTTATCCCGTCATATGAAACTACTATTTTAATGAAACCCAGAGAGACAGATTCACCAGTAGTTGTTACGAATAATTTAGAAAGCTCCCATTTACTCTCTGCCAAAGTTCTTAGAATACTTAGGATTCACCAACAGTACAGAACACCTGAACCACTTCGTATAAGATTTCCTTCTAAGGCACACGCCTTTCATTCGAAGTCAGTTTGGTCTACAAAGTAAGTTCCAGGGAAGCCAGGATTACACAGAAAAACCCTCGAAAAGTAATAAAAATTAAAAAAAAGAATTTCTTTTATAAACGTACTCATTTCCTGTAGACAAATCCCCATGTTTTAGCCCCAAAAACACACTTAAAAGCGAAGACTCAAAGTTGTCTTTCACACAGGAAAACAAAAGCCACATTGAACACTTACGTAGCAAACAACTCTGCAACCCCTGAGGCAGGGGAAGAGCACCCCAGCCCCGGACGTTTCTATTCCACGTTCATGCTCCCTAACCCTGCTGGTCCTTTTGGTCTCAGAGCGCCAGCCCATCCCAGGCCCCGCCCCTCGCCGCCCAGTGCGTCATCCCAGGCCCCGCCCCGGCCCGGTTCCTCCCTCCCTCGGGTCCCGCAGCCCTCGAGGGCCGCTAGGGGTCGTCGCGACTGCCCCGGTTCTTCCTCCGCCCTCCCCACCCCACGCGGCTGTCGGCGCCAGAGTCAAACGGGGAGGCCGCGGTTTGCACCATGGTAAGAGCGAGCCCCACGCGCGCACCTCCGGGCTTCGGGGCGGCGGCGCGGTGGGAGCCTGGCCAGGCCCCGCTCCTCCGGCTGCGCCCGAGCCCTGGCGGCGACCCGCGCCGCGCTCGGTCTGAACCGGAGCGTTCCGGAACCGAAGCCCGAAGCCTCGCGAGTGGGGCCGGCCCGCGGCGCCTGTCCGAGAGCCCCACGCCGCCCGTGGGGCCGAGTTGACGCTGACGTTTTCAGGGTCCTTTGGTTCGGCTGGGATTAGAACCCGGGACCTCGTGCAGGCCGGGCACGGCGCTCCCCTTCATCCTCAGCGGCGGCCCGCGCAGCGCCCCCCCCCCCAATATCTTTCCGAACTTAATGACTTTCTGCCCATTGGATCATTTTCATCCACCTTCAGAGTTTCGCGCCATTCTTTCCGCTTCTGGCGACAGAGTATCAATGTGTCGTTAAAGTGACCCGAGATTTTAATATCTTAATTTAGTTAAGTAGCCGTTACAAAGGGTGGACGAGGATGTAGGGCATTTATTTGAAGAAACTTGCCCAGCTGTAATTATGACTGATAACGGCTTCTTTGTGGTTGAACTAACAACCGGGCCACCTGGGCATAAAATAGCTCAAAACAACCGTGTTACCAGTACTTCGTGTTATCAAGTTTCACTTTGTAGAATTAAAGCACCCGACTACAATGAACTATTTATTCGTCATTGATGTGCCGGCCAACCCTCTTTTATAGGGCCGTTGCCTACTGCCAAGGGATTTAATGGCTGTTAACGCTTCACATAGGTACTTGCTATTATTTTTATATATGATCAGGAAAAGAGTTCAGAGTTATTCTGGTGAAAGTTAAACTTTCGGTCTCTTTGCTAATCCTGGATTAATAGCTGTTTTGATTTGACTGGGCTTGCTTTGTAAACAATTATAAGTGTAGGCCTACAGTTTGAAATAGGAGAAAAAGCAACCTTGAGAGTGACATGTCATCTTTTTAGCTTTCAAAATGTTATCACAAATGACCAACAGGGTTGATATTAGGAAGAGTCTAGGTACAAGTCTCTGAAAAGTACCTTGAAGTCCTTCACTGAGATAGAATGTGTCATAGACCTCGGGTGGCTTTGGGTCCCCATACTAATAGGAAGGCATCCCCGGTTTACCTACCCTCCTCCAGTTTTAAGTAATGAGCCCTTTTTATGTTTCTTGTGGAAGTCTCTAGTGTCAGTAGGATGCCCTTTTTACATTAGGTATTTTAAATCCAACCTCAGTGGTTTCCAGATGTGGCTAGTAGTAACTTATAAAAGAGAAAGAAAGAAAACAGCCTGAAAGTCATGTAAACATTTCATCTGCCTTCTTGGAATGATTTTATATTTGTTGAGTAGTAAGAGCCTTGTAAGCTGTGTTCCCCAGGACGCGCCCTTAACTTCTTGTTTGCCTCTGGGAATTGCAAAGGACTTCCCAGGAACTCTTTTTAAATAACAATATTAAAAAAGGAGGTTTGCGGGGCTGGAGATATGGCTCAGCGGTTAAGAGCACTGATTGTTCTTCCAGAGGACCCGGGTTCAATTCCCAGCACCCACATGGCAGCTCACAACTGTCTGAAAATGCAGTTCCACAAGATCTGACACCTTCGTACCAATGTACATAAAATAAAGTTAAATAAATCATTTAAAAAATTTAAAAAAAAAAAGGAGGTTTGCTCCCAAATTTGGCTGCTGCTTTCTCCTGATTTAGCCCTAATGTAGGGAGCTGAGGGGGACTTGAATGAGGGAAATCCTGAGTGGATGTGTTGTTGATAAATGTGACCACACCAAAGACCCCATAGCCTCAGGCAGAGAGGACGGCAAAGTCTTCCCTGGGAGACCCAGAGCGAGATTTGCCGGCCTGTGTGGGAGATGTGCACTGTACTTTATTCCCTTCTGGAGTTTATGGCCTGAGGACTACTCGCCTGCAGAGGCTGTTCCTTGGCTACCAAGATTAGCTAATCCTGCCTCCTTGTTCAGATGTGTGTACTAACCCTGTCTCCTTGTTTATCTGTGTGTAATAGCCCTTTGTATGCAGTCACCTGCCTCTGCTCAACTCTGTAATGAACACACTGGGCTTCTGGAGGGCCACAGTTTCTCCACCAAGAGCCCAGAGCACCAATCCCAGCTTTCTGTTTGAGCATCCTTCTGTCTGTCTATTCTGTCTATATCTCATTCCCTTGCTGACCCGGTCAGGTCCATGTTATAGAGCCATGCAAGGGTATCACACCCTGAGGAGGTTGCCACTTCTCCACACAGGCCCTGCCAGCCTTGGGAGTCTAGTGAGAATATTTTTTAAAGGCGCGTGCCTAGGCGCATCATCAACATTGCAGTTCAGCTCACATAGGGTAACTTGGGCTCTAGCCTTTTAAAGTCCCTAAAATGATTTGCATGGGTGGTAGTTTGATGCCCACTGGCATGGGAAGCTTACCTGGGTGTGAACTTCATGATAGCTTCAGATACTGCAAGAGAGCCCTGTGGAAGGGGTCATAAAACACCCCTGGGTTCTAACTGTGCACTATAAGTTTAACAGTAGTTCTGCATAGCTTCGTGGAGCTTGTCCGCCTCCCTGAGAGTGCTCTGCTTTCTCTGCTAGCAAGGTGATGGCCACCAGCTTCCTGATACTTAATACACCCTGGATTATATGTTTAGGAGTGCTGTGGGCTTCTGAGCTCGAGCACCTTGGAGGTGTAGGGTGGGCGCTTTTACTGGTTGTGGTCCTGATGTTCAGTGCAGTCAGTGATGGATGCAAGTGTGTCCTGGGAACACATGCTCAGCCTGTGAGGGCAGCGGAGGGAAGGCTTTGAGGAGAGAAGGCCCACACTAGGCTCTGGGAGACCCTTTGCAGTATGGCAGGAACTGGAGGGGAGATGTTTTAGGTAGAGGGACATCTTTTTACAGGGCACAGAAACGATAGAATGCTTCCTGTAGAGAATGCCAGAAATAATTTTATTTTTATTATTATTACATTTCAAATTGCACGGTGTTTCATCTTGTTATGGTAAATTGGGGTGGGGAGTTACTCAAAGCAGTAGGTTGGGGTCAGGTGATTGCGGGTCTTCTATACCCTGTGAGGTGCTTGGATCCTTAGGAGGATTGGGACCATCACAAGGTTTGAACATAGCGGGCTATGTAGTCAGATTTGTTTCTCCATTAGAGGATGAGGCCAAAGTGTGGTTAGGCCGTTGAGGACAGACTGCAGGAGACAGCCAATGAAGCTTGAATCCTGGCAGAGGTGGGACAGGCAGAACGTAATAGAGCAGTGGTCCTCAACTTGTGGGTCACTACTCCTTTGGGGGTCAAATGGCCTTTCTCAGGGGTCACCTAAGACCATTGGAAAACAGATTTTTACGTTACAATTCATAACAGTAGCAAAATTACAGTTATTAAGTAGGGAAGAAAATAATTTTATGGTTGAGATCACCGCAGGAGGAACTGTATTAAAGGTCACAGATTAGGAAGGCTGAGAACCACCGTGTTAGAGAATATTTAAGAGCCAGTGTTGATAGAGCTTGGTAGTTGGTAATGAGATGAAAGCCCCTAGGATGCCTGCGGGGCCTCTGGCATGGGTAAAAAGTGTGGCTCGTTTTGGACCACTTGAGTTTGAAGTTTGTCCAGCAGGCAGGTAGATACATGAGGTGGAGGTTCAGGAGTCTGCGGGGCCAGACCAGCATCTGTGGTCTCCTCACAAGTGTTAATTAAAATTAAAGAAGATGAGATCAAAGGAGATTTGAGGATAGGAAGGGCTCAATATGGTTCCCTGGGGACTGCTGTGCTTCAGAGGGACAGAAGAAAAAGGAGTGTGAACTTGGAGGCTGCTTACTTATACAAACGCAATGTAATACTGTTGCTGTGGAAACGAGTGAGCTCCTAGGTTTGCCAGAAGAAATACAGAATGGTGTCCCAGAGAATGATGATTTTGGTTGGACAGAATCAATCTTTATCTTATTATATCTTAACAGGCAGTTTGTTTTCTTGTGATCTGTTGTGTGGTAATTTCCTCCAAAGTTAAAGCTTCCCACCTTGTAGAAACTCTTTAAGACATTGAATGTGGAAAGGGAGGTAGAACAGGGGTTTTTAGGACAGGATACTCACATGGCGGTGAGGCAGCAGTGTGGTCTAAGGCAGTGGTTCTCAGCCTGTGTGTCACAACCCTTGGGGGAATCAAACAACCCCTTCATAGGGGCTGCATATCAAAGATCCTACATATCAGATATTTACATTGCAATTCATAACAGTAGCAAAATTGCAATTATGAAATAACAATCATTTTATGGTTGGGGTCACAACAATAGGAGGAACTGTGTTAAAGGGTCACAGCACTAGGAAGATTGAGAACCACTGAGGGGAGGTGCAGCTGCTGCCACAGACATTATACAGTAAAAGAACAGCTGACAAGTCACTGGACAGACTGCAGGGCTCGGGAAACACCTGTCTTCTGGATAGTCAGCATCAGTTCTGTAGAGAGCTTGTGAGGTCATGGCTCTTCTCTCTCCGTAATGGATTTATCCCGAGATACCCCAGCAGTGTATTGATCATTCGATGAGGTAGCTTCTTTCTGTATGGACAACTGGATGATCTCTGCCACATGGTGGGGCTCTGGTCTGAAAGCGTTCACTCAGCCAAACCTTTGTTCTCCTAGTCAAATCTACATACAGCTAGAGCCCCACAATTATCCTTATTGATAAACAGGTCTGGGTGACCCTGGATTCTCCAATAGCGAACTCAGAAGAACATGACCTACTGGCCTTTCTCTACCTGACAGCTGTTAATATTCTGTGCTTTTCCTCACCTTTCATCTGATACAAGGTCTTAGTCTAGGAAATTAACTGTTTGTGCCTTTACCCCTAAAATATACAGGGAAAAAGCTTTGGTTGCTAAGCCAGCCCCAGAGAAAGAAATTCCTTCTCACCTGGGTGCCAGCAGATACAGCACCAGGATGTTTAGCCCAGGGAGCCAAATTTCATCCTAATCTTCCCAGTATCTGCCAGGGAGCTGCACAGCCCCGCCCCTTCTGAGACACAAGGCACCTGCCTTGTCAGTCTTTTATCCACCCTGTTAGCCCTAAGAAATGCATGCTTGGTGCCATTGTTCTCACCTATGGGATTGCTAACCACGTCTCTGTGGGTGTGTAAACCGGAAACCGTGTGGGATGGGTGGACAGCGAGGAACATTGAGGAGGGTCATAGAAAGGGGAACATCAAGAGAGCACTAGAGAGAGCACAGACAGAAAAAAATGGGACTTGATAAAAAGACTTTTGTAAGCTAATTTGTTGTGTTTACCCTCAGACCTGATTGTCAGGTGTCACCTACTCTAGCAATCCTTCTGAATCCTGAGACGTTTAATGGGGCTTACAAACCAGAGGACATGGTCCCCTCTTCTGACCTCCCTGGGCCCTAGGCACACACATGGTGTCCAGACATACATACAGGCAGAACACCCACACATACATTTTTTCAGTATTTTAACTGAAAGAAAATGAACAGTGGCAGCCGTGTGCAGGCTGTAAGAAAACCCTATCCACATAGAAAACAGAAGCCTGTAATACCTATAAATCTATCAGATTTGAAAACAAGATGATCAGTATGTAACTGAAATACATAATTCTTATGTATATTATACACAGAACATACTAACTTACATTCAAATTAAAAAAAAAAAGAGGAGCCAAATTTCTTTAATGCAAAAAATTGCAAGAAAAATAAAAACAACGTGAGAAACATTGGAGTTTATTTGGGGTCTGTTTGTTGTTTATTTGTGGGTGGGGTGCTAAGGACCACGGGTACAGGTCAGAAGAGAGTGAAGTTGGTCTTCTTCTTCTCTGTGCAGCTCCAGGGATGGAACTCAGGTAGTCAGGCTCAGCAACCAGCACAGTTACCAACGCGCCATCTCACCGGCCCTAAATTTAAGTGCTCTGCGTCCTTCTCAAAAGCTGCACAGTCCATACAGACAGGGCTGCTGGGAGCCTGTAGGCCAGGCTTTGAAAGTGACGAGCCTGTGGACAGTAGACAAAATCACATAACTTTTAAGATAACATTTAATGCCAATTGTTGTAAAATGCTGTTTTGAAACCGCTACTTTTGTTGATTTGTGTTTTATGCCTCAGTCAAAGAAGAAAGGACTGAGTGCGGAAGAAAAGAGGACCCGAATGATGGAGATATTTTTTGAGACGGTAGGTCATCCCCAATGTTGTTAGTGTTTTGTATAATGTTTACAGTAAATGTATTTTTACAGTATGCTGTGTATTTTTCTGTGATGTAATTCAATGTCTCATTTTGTTAGACACCCATACTGTCTTGGTTCTTAAGGGGCAGATAAAATTTTCCAGTATTTTCGGCTCTTCTGAGCTGTGGATCCTAAACGCCCTGTAGTTTACTGGAGTTCTCTTTCTGAGTTATGTATTTGATTATGACCTCCCTTTCTGAAGTAGTCGCAGCAGTTTCCTGGGTGCTGCCTGGGTGCTGGCCATTTCAGGCTTTAGTGTAGGGTTTCCCATTCAGCAGCAGACGGTCCTGGGGTAAAGTCCTGTGGTTGTCAGCTTTGCTTTGCAGATGAGGGCTCCTGAGACAGAGGGTCTGAAGAGCTTACCAGGGTCTCAGAAAACAAGAGTGGACATTATCAGGTGTAAGCCAAGGAGGACCACGTGGTTTCATAGGGAGCACAGACATCCTTCTGCTCTGTGTTTGCAGGCTGCCTACGGCATTATGATAATACCCAGGAGAGACCTGTGCTGGTCACTGAGAGAAAAATAAAGTTTCTGCTTTACTAAGTGACAGTCAGAGATGAAAACCAGGCTCTAGGTCTACTTTCTTAACCATGTTCCTGTCCATGGGCCTTTCTTTTGTAAAGAAACAAGTCCAAACGGGCTTTTTATCCCACAAGAAATTCTCCCCATGCCCTTTATCCCACTGACTATTTTCGTCCCGTGCATACGGGGGAAATGGTAAAATAGAGTATTATGGAGGTAACATTCCTTTTCATTTGATAATGGAGATCCTCGTACAGTTAAAATACTCTGAGGAAAGTCTGGGTTTATTCTTTATGTTTTTAAGCTAGTGTCCAGTTGTCCAGCCCTGCACAGACGTCTGTGCTCGTGTGGAAGTGTGTCCAGTTGTCCAGCCCTGCACAGACGTCTGTGCTCGTGTGGAAGTGTGTCCAGTTGTCCAGCCCTGCACAGACGTCTGTGCTCGTGTGGAAGTGTGTCCAGTTGTCCCGCCCCCCACAGACGTTTGTGCTCGTGTAGAAGTGTGTCCATCTTAAGTTCTGTGGGACACTGAATGAAATACAACATTCTTCTACTTCCGAAATGCTCAATTGTACAGTATTGATTTGTAGACATGTCTTTTTGACGCTATGTTTTATGAGCATGGTTATGATAAGCATAAATAAACAGAAGAAAGTAATTATGTGTTTTTCATGTTTTTAAATCCTTTTAACTAGAAAGATGTATTCCAACTGAAAGACCTGGAGAAAATTGCTCCCAAAGAGAAAGGCATCAGTGAGTATTAAAGAGATGGTGGATGATGGGGACTCGGGGGAACCCAGGACCTAGTCTTTTCTGCCGTGGGGTTTCCCTTTATTGTCAATGCAAAAATCTAGATGGATACTTCTTGGCCATCAGTCAGTTCCTGTGTTTGGACCCTCTGTTCTAGAACAATTAAAAGAGGAACACATGCACCTTTACTCATGCACACTTACTTTATAGCTTATTTCAAAAGAAGTAAAGATTGTTTCACTTATTTTGTAGTATTTGTCAAATGTGATTCGGTATCTTTACATATCAGTATATCAGTTTCATGAAGCCGTATCAAGAATTTACTATGAATACGAAACCTTGAACTTACTTTCTCTTAGCTCTAGAGGTAGAAAGTTGACATGAAAGTATGGGCAGGGTTGGTTCCCTCGGAGACTGAAGTACAGGTGCTCTTCATCTTGGGATCCTTGATGTTAGTGGCGTCCGTGTGCTAGTCAGACTTCCATTGCTGTGGCAGAGTACCTGACGGACAGCTTCAGGAAAACAGGTGGAGCAGAGCAGCTCCCATCGCTGAGCTGAGGAAGAAAGGTTGCCTTTTTCTGTTCTAAGAAACTTTAGAACTGTAAGCATTTGCACATTTTGCAGTTTTGTCAGTATATGTACGTAAAGATCTGTCATTCTGAGAGGAAACCATGTGCATATGCAGTTTTGTGTTTATAGTTACTGTGTGGTGAGGAGTGGCTGTGCTGGGGACTGACCCAGGACTCACCTTTCTCGGGCTAGCACTCCACCGCTGAGTTAATCTTACCTGAGTATCTTCTTTATATAGCATATCATCCGCACATGATCAGTTCCAGCCTGTGACCACCCATCAGACCTGCTTAGCCAGTCTATAAGTACTGCTACTAAAAGTACTGTATAAATAACAGTTTCTCTGCTCTGAGCTGAACTGCGTTCTCCCCAGTTCATAACCCTTCTGGAAGTAGAACCTTCATCAGGGCCTTGAGTTAAAGGCTGAGTGAATGATACACGTATGTAGTCTCAACACTCGGAAAGCATGAGTCTGAGTTAGCTTGAGCTCCACGGTGAGAGACTGTCACAGTCACCATGCTGAAACAAATGGCTGTGTGAGGTTTTAATAGCAGGGCGCTGATTTTAAGGAGAGAGAGAGAGAGGGAGGGAGGGAGGGAGGGAGGGAGGGAGGGAGGGAGAGAGAGAGAGAGAGAGAGAGAGAGAGAGAGAGAGAGAGAGAGAGAGAGAGAGAGATAATCTTTGTGTGTCTCCAAAGGAAAGGCCACCCATAACAAGAGCACAGGCTGTCCACACAACAGGCAGAGATCCTCACCAGGAACTGAGTTGGGTGCTGCCTTGTCCTGGTTGCTGGAACTGTGCAGCTAAACACAGGGCCTCAGCCTTCTCAAACCAGCGCTTTCTGGCTCTACCTTAGCTGCTGGGTAAGCCTGGTCTGTAGGGTTTGGTTACGGATCCCTTCTCCGGGTGCGTCGTTAGACTGCACCTGTAGAGCAGAGCAGAGACAAAGGCTTGCGCAGCTCTCAAAGCTTCAAGCACGTCTTCATAAGTCACTTTCAGGAGAGGCTCGGCCAGCTCACGCTCACTTTCTGTTTCTTTTCAGAGTTGGGTTGGACCCAGGGCTCTGTGTCTGCCAGGCAACGTTTTGTTGCTGAGCCTCATGGCCAACTCCTTCATCTTTAGAATCCTTTGACTTCCATTTCAGTTTGGACTTGATGAGTAGAGTTGATGTTTTGCACACTTGGTGTCAATTTTATTTATTAGATCTTTACATTTTAAATAAGCTTTATAGCTAGAGATCTGCTCTAGAGAAAATTTAAATATTAAAATGGGGATATGGTTTTTGGTATATAGAAAGTAAGCGTGATTAATAGATTCTGACTTTAAGTCTTAGCTGTAACTGTTGGCACTAATTTGTTTATTATTTGAGTTGTCACAACTTTTAGTTTCCTTAGCTGAAGGCAATACATGTTTATTTTTGGGGAAAAATAAATAAGAAAATCAAAGTAAAAATCGCCCGCTATCTGCCATCTGAACTACGGTCACATAACACATACTGTCTTTTCACTTCTCTATAGCATGCATTCTGTATGGTGCAACATGTGTTTATCCATGTCCTTAACTTCGCTGTGTAGCATCGCATTGTGTTTTCAAAAAGCCAGCTATTGGGTTAGTTTCCAGTTTCCTTTGCTGCTGATAAAATGCTTTCCAAACATGTGTGTCCATCCTTCTGCCGCGTGGCTGTGTGACAAACATGTGTGTCCATCCTTCTGCCGCGTGGCTGTGTGACAAACATGTGTGTCCATCCTTCTGCCGCGTGGCTGTGTGACAAACATGTGTGTCCATCCTTCTGCCGCGTGGCTGTGTGACAAACATGTATGTCCATCCTTCTGCCGCGTGGCTGTGTGACAAACATGTATGTCCATCCTTCTGCCGCGTGGCTGTGTGACAAACATGTATGTCCATCTTTCTGCTGCGTGGCTGAGTTTAAAAAGCAAATGTCTTCAGAAGGAAAGCCACGCGCCTAGGGTTTCGATACATGCTTCCATATGTATCTTTGGATCCTTTCTTCTGTCTTGACTATTTTTAATTTGGTAGTCCAGGAGGCGTGCTGTTTGTTCTAGTTTGTCTTCAGCTTAGAGTAGAGTTAGAAAGGCTGGGGCGGCGCTTAGCCTAGAGCACTTATCTCATGTTCAAAGCCCTGGTCTCAAACTCTAGTACTAAAAAAAAAAAAAATAGAATGCCGTTGAAATCTTGAAATCTTGAGCGTGATTATTTATAGAACACTTTTGTTTGTTTTTAAATTAGCATACCAAGTGACAGTTTCCTTATGGCATTGCAATGTGTACTCCAGTTTGGTTAGCCCCTCACCCCCCCGCCCTCCCCCAGGACTGTGCACGCCCCGCTGTGTGCCCTTCTGCCTTTATGTCACTGGCGTCCTACTCCTGTTTGCACCTTCATTCTTACAAGTTTCTTTTTCCTTCTCTCGTGGGCTCCTTTCTAATTCCATGACCTCTGCCCACGCTTGTTCCTGTGTGAACACCTAAGATCTGCATGTAAGAAAGGACATGCGGCTGAGTGATGGAGGCACACACCTCTAATCCCAGCACTTGGGAGGCAGAGGCAGGCGGATTGCAGTGAGTTCGAGGCCAGCCTGGTCTACAGAGCGAGTACCAGGTCAGGCTTCAAAGCGACAGAGAAACTCTGTCTCGAAAAAAGAAAGAAAGAAAGAAAGGAAGGAAGGAAGGAAGGAAGGAAGGAAGGAAGGAAGGAAGGAAGGAAGGAAGGAAGGAAGGAAGAAAGGACGGACATGCGATGTTTGTCTTTGAGAGCCTGGTCGCCTCACTTTTACGCACATATAGATGCCCGTTGATAAACTGTCATCTTTCTTTCTTAGCTCTTAACTGTGGTCTGCTCTGCAAACGTCTCTCATTACTCCCTGTTGAATTAGCCATGATGCTGCTTACCATGGAGTCTGTGCACGTTTCCCCGCAGCCGCCATGTCAGTCAAGGAAGTCCTTCAGAGCTTGGTGGACGACGGCATGGTTGACTGCGAGAGGATCGGGACGTCCAATTACTACTGGGCTTTTCCAAGCAAAGCTCTTCATGCCAGGACGCGCAAGCTGGAGGCTCTGAACTCTCAGGTAAGGAAGGCTCCGCAGCCCTGAAGAGGCGTGCTAGGTAACGGACCTGCTTTCCCAATACTGTTCTCGTATTGGTGTGTAGAATTGAGGGTAATCGATGTGTGGACTGAGTGATTGACGAATAGGGCGTTCTTATTCCCACTGCTCTGGTTTTCTTGGAACTCCAGAAGAGATTGACAACATCAGCCACATGTACCAAATCATCATATAAATCCACTGCTGTCAGTTCCCTGCTGGTCTGCGAGTCTGAGAGTTAATGTTGAGTGTAGTTTTGAGTACACCCTCTCTTTAGTTCTTAGAAGTCGTAGGTCAAGACTTAACCTGACACAGCTCTGTGAATCAGAAGTGAGGGCATGCTGACATGTATGCAGTAGGTCCTGTGTGAATCGGGAGCTAGGACATGCTGACATGTATGCAGTAGGTCCTGTGTGAATCGGGAGTTAGCTAGGACATGCTGACATGTATGCAGTAGGTCCTGTGTGAATCGGGAGTTAGCTAGGACATGCTGACATGTATGCAGTAGGTCCTGTGTGAATCAGGAGTTAAGTTAGGACATGCTGATATGCAGTAGGTCCTGTGTGAGTCAGGAGTTAGGGCATGCTGACATGTATGCAGTAGGTCCTGTGTGAATCGGGAGTTAGTTAGGGCATGCTGACATGTATGCAGTAGGTCCTGTGTGAATCAGGAGTTAGGGCATGCTGACATGTATGCAGTAGGTCCTGTGTGAATCAGAAGTTAGTTAGGGCATGCTGACATGTATGCAGTAGGTCCTGTGTGAATCAGAAGTTAGTTAGGGCATGCTGATATACAGTAGGTCCTGTGTGAGTCAGGAGTTAGGGCATGCTGACATGTATGCAGTAGGTCCTGTGCCTCCTTCTCTAAAAGTCAGAACAAGGATTTGTTTTTGTTTGTTTGTTTGTTTGTTTTTGTTTTTCTTGAGCAGTTGGAGAAGGTTGCAAGCTTTTTAGAGGCTTGCTTTCCCAGTTCACAAAAGAGGTTGCTCAACTTTTCTGGGTTGTGGTGAAGATGAAGGGTCAGGTTCCTGATCCTCTAGGGTTTCTGCATGTGGTGGCCACACATTCAGATAAGTGATGGCTCACCCAGAGTGTAGACTGTGAACTTACTTGTTCACAGAGCAAGTTGAGGTCTTGCATTTTACTGAAAGTGACTTGAAAAGTAGAAGTCAGTGTTCATGCTCTAAAAGGCCTGTGCTGGAAGTGATTTCCCTGCAGGGAAGCATAGTGGGTGAGGACCTGCTAGTGCTGAGGGTTCACACAGACACAGGGCTGGGTACGGCTGGCGGGCACCGCTGGCGGGCATGGCTGGCGGGCACTGCTGGTGGGCATGGCTGGCAGGCACCGCTGGCGGGCACTGCTGGTGGGCCGCGCTCAGGCTGCTTTCTACTGTTTGCCAAAGTAGAATGTCAGCTTCCTTTGAGCTTCTTGTTAATGATTTCCAGATTGGCTTGGGGCTGTGGGGTGGGGCCACTCTTCATTTCCTTCCTTTTAATGTCATTCCTTTTCTGCTGGTGACTCCAATTACGTGCAGGAACATGTCTCTCGAGGACAGACATTCTTGTAGTAAAATTGAAAATTAAATCAGGAAATATATTTTTTCTCCCTTCCTTTCGGTTTTATGTGTTGATCATCATTGAAGATAGTCTGCAGGACTCATGGTTATAATTTGTTTTAACTTCAACATTTTGTAAGATGACACAGTCAGCCGTGTGTGGCATATGTCAACCTCCATAGGTTTACCGTGTGCTGCTGCGGCTGCGCACTGTTGTGCACTGTCTGAATAGAGAGTAAGTGGTCTATGCCTAGAGAATTTGTAGTTTCCTTGGTCAAGTGTAGTTATCTAACTTACTTGGAAATGATTAACAAGAAACTATAAAAAGTTACCTGTATGATGCTTAATGGTAAGCTTTGCTGTGAATTCTGTTATACAGTTTAGGACAAAGGCAAGGCTCCTAAATTTTTCTTTAAATTCTACTTATTTGTTTGCTTGTTTATTTATTTATTTGTATATGTAGTGGCGTGCGCATGCATGCCACAGTGCATGTATGGAAATGAGAAAACAGCCACACGGGTCGGTTCTCTCCTTTCACCAAGTGACAGTGGTCAGGCTTGGTGGTCTTTACCACTCAACAATCTCACACCCAAAGTCAAGGCTTTTATAGATATGTATAGTTAACACAGCATTCTTAGAAAATGTTCTTTTGAGCCGCAAGTAGGGCAGGTTTAGAACCAGTGGTTCTCAACCCTCCTCACGCTGCGTGCGAACCTTTCACACGGCTCCTCGTGTGGTTGTAATGGTTTAAGGATGGAAGGCACCTTGGGTTGGAGACAAGGGGCACCAGGTGGAGCCAAGGGGCTCCGCAAAGTCGTACAGTGTAACAGATGCCATATGAGATCTCTTAGGGGAAGGGGCAGAGGTGGCTGGCCTCTGAGTGGGCGCTGGGAGAGAAGGCTAAGTTCCTGACTCACGGTGGCAGTAGCCACAGTGGTGGCTCTTGGTGGCTGATGGTGGTGTGTCCTGCTGCCGATCTCTGCCTGAGGGCAGGGCAGTTGGAATGCCTAAATGTAACAGTGGTGACCTCCAACCTTGAAGTTATTTCATTACTGCTTCATAACTGTAATTTGCTACTGTTATGAGTTGTAATATTTGATATGCTACCCCAAAGGGGTCTCGACCCACAGGTTGAGAACCACTGGCTTGGATGCAGGTGGAGTGTGTGGAGAGGAGCCGAGGATGTGTCCGCCACTCTGGCTCAGTTCAGAGCTCCCTGGGATTCTCACTCCTGCAGGAGGCATCAGTGTTGATATTAACTGTGGTGTACAGGTGAGGAAGCTGAGGGGCCACTGTTCAATAACTCGCCCAGTGGCAGTGTGGGAGATGGCAAAGGAAGATCTGATTCTAAGCATTTTGACTATCTGGCCGTGCTGTTAATCAAGAGAAGACTAACGCTGATAGACTGTAGACCTTCAGTTGATAGATAATGACGAGCTAAGGAAGAAGAGATGCAGACTTTTTGTTATGTGGTCACATAAAGTTAGAAGTTTATTGAGGGCCAGGTGGTGGTGGTGCACGCCTTTAATCCCAGCACTCGGGAGGCAGAGACAGGTGGATCTCTGTGAGTTTGAGGCCAGCCTGGGCTATAAGAGCTAGTTTCAGGACAGGTTCCAAAGCTACAGAGAAACCCTGTCTCAAACTCCCCCATCCCCAAAGAAGTATATTGAGGCTATATTATGGGACATCTTAGTGGTTGGTTAGGTTTTGTCATGTATTCCAATCAGAGGAAACTGAAATTTTCCTGCCAGTCAGTTCAATTTATTTATTTGTTTGTTTGTTTGTTTGTTTGTTTATATTGCCTACTTGACTGGTTAAAACAATTACATTATAAGCTTAGAAGATAGTGTTGTTACTTTCTCTTCTTCGGCTTAATGTGGTTAAGATATTAATTTTGCTGAGAATAATGAGGTATAGTAACTTTTTTCTAAAAAGTAACCCTCTGGGCTAGTTTGGAGAAATAGCTTTAAACCAGCCCCTGTAGGTAGTGATGACACAGTTCTGGTCTCATGTATTAAAGCTTTTGATGGGCAAGAAACGCTTCCTCTAGGATGCTGAAGATGGCAAGGAACTTATGAGGGTCTCGTGCTCAGAGCAGCTGCAAACACAGGAAAATAAG